CCTTTAGAATCTGTTACATTAGCATCACCAGGCCCACCACCAATGAGTACAGCAACGAGCCCTGCAGCCTCAGAAGCCACACCTTCGGAACCATTTCTGAGTAAACCCATTATCCTTCCAACTGCTGCCGGAAAAGACATCACGTGTGAAGCTGCACTTCTTGAAGCAAGTAATCTTCGTAAACATGCAATAAAACCCATCACAGTTGCTGCAGCTTTTGGCGAAGGGGGTGGCAATGGAGGTGACTCTGGAGGAAGATTTGGGGCAGCAGGAAGCATGGTAATCAAGGCCATCAAAGTAACCTCTGGTACTTCACTGTTTGAAGGGACCCCATTATACGGTATACAGGCATTGAACTCCCTTATCCTACGCCATAGTTTAGCCCTTGATCCAGGAATGGAACCACCTTCAGCAACAGCATCTTTGGCAGATGCTGCTAGATGTTTTAAATGCATGGATGCACTTTCTGCATCAGCAACAAGCTTTTGTTGACCATACTGCAAATATACTCTCCCACAGGGAGGATCAATACGGTGACCAGGCATTGTCAATCTTGGTAATACAGGTATGGCACATTGACCCTGTAAAAAAACATCACCAGAAGTCAAACATGCACTTGGATGCTGCATTCTGCGATAAGATAAGCTTTCTTTTCAATAACATAACAAAATATAATTGTCTCCAGCTCAGGAACAGCTTCAACATTGATATTACAAGATTAGATAAATATAATAGGACATAAATCATCATGCCTCAGTGTTCACATACAATTATAGAATAATTCTTAACCAAGATGAGATACATCTACCTACTTCAGTTTGCAAAACATCACGAACTGCTGCAAGTAAGCTATCACGGGAGGTGCTTGCATAAACCTGCAATTCAGGCCATATGCATGAGAAAGTTTATTGCATAATATATCATAACAACAGTAGCAAAACAAAGCTTACATGGATGGGGCATCCATCACTAAATTCAATTGCAAACATCTGGGGCTCTTCAGCAAACCGAACAAGAGCACTTACTGAAGATAAAGGACGAACAGTAACAGCCTGCATACATCTAGTAAAAATTCTCAACATTTGATATAACCCTTGTTATTCTGAGTAGAAAACAGCTTGCATAGACATATAAATACATTGATATGAAATTGGTTGCATCAAAAACACATGAAGATGCATAAAATGTTCAAAATCAGTGTATCTTCCTTAAAATCTGTTTTAATAAAAACAAAAATTCTGTTTGCTTGCTGTTACTTCAAAAAGTAAAGGCCACATTTGCATAAGCTTTTTCTTAGAACAAAATACTTTATAAATTAATGCGATCATTAAAAAAATTACAACCACTGGATAATTTTTTGAGAAAAATATCAGTTTTAGTGCTTTTTTTGGAAGTAAAAAGTCATAAAAACATTTTTTTTTTCAAAGTTTATCCAAATGTGCCCTAAATGAGTAGGTTAACAAAAAATCCATCAACCAAGGTAATCAACTCCTCCAAAGACCTATTAATTCACATCGCATGGACTTTAAATTATCAACACCTAATACTGTAATCAAGTCTTTCAAGATCAATTCAAAACAATATTTTGGCAAACAACTCTATCAATGCTTAATTTCTCATGCAAGAAATTCCAACAGCATGTATCAATATGCCTCTAATAAATAATAAATACATCCCAATGCAACTATCAATAAAGCGATATCCTCTTCACAAATTGACTTAATAAATGCGAAACCTACTTCATAATTCTCAGGACGCCTTTCCACAAGTGAAACCTTTGTAAGAATGAGCTGACGAGATACAGCATCACCATGCTCACCTAGTCCTCCTTTTGGGCCAACTCCTAAACTCAGTCCTGGAACATTTAGAGTTCCATGGGCAGCAGAACGCAACCTTGTTACAGACCAACCCCCCAATGGGGTATCTTCTGCTCCAACTGCCTCCTTTGCTGCAGTACATTTGTTTGTCCAAATTTAAAAAAATAAATTCACTGCAGATAAATAATGAATTTGAATGTCGAAGGAACATAAATAAGGCTATGTATAGTTACCCCTTTGTTTTATATACTCAGAAATTGAGAGAGTTTGAGAACTTTCCACAGATAAGGACAGCCCAACAGTGGATTTGGCAGTTTTTGTCTGCAACAAAATTTATGCACCGTAGTTATTGTCAATATTAAAACAGGTAGTATTATATTCCTTGGTTATCCAGAAAGCAAAGGTATACCATTCTTATAAATGCTGCTATATTTCAGAGTCAAAAGGCACCTAAATATCATGCAGAATAATTATTTAAGCTTAAACAAACCCATCCATACCAAATTCGAGATAATAGCTGATGTTGTGCACCCTGAAGCAGCTTGAAAAGCTTTAGATTTTCTTCCATATAAGGGGCAAAGAACAAATCCGCTACCATGATCAACATTTTTCTTTCCAAAAGCATCAGAGAGCAGAACAATTGCAGGGGAATTCATGTCTCTAAAATCCAAGCACCACCGAAGGTCACCCGATTTTGCATCAATAAGTTCAACTCCAACATAAGTTACTTTCAATTTCTGTGAAAGCCACCAGCCATACAGGATAATTAGTCTAACCGATCACCACTTTTTTTCCTTGTATAAAGAAGTTCATCACATAATATTTTAAAAAAAATCACTTGTCATTCTAAAAAAGAAAAAAGCCCATCTCCCCATCATCCTTATCTCCACAATCCTCACAACACAAAACACTAAGATCGCCATTTTCTCTTAGTTGGCATGGGACAAAAGAATGACAGAAATGCACACCCTCACAATTCATCACACACAAGAAATGAAAAACACTGACAACTAGTAAACCGTATCTCAGACCTACACTCTTAACCATCGCAATATTAGCACGAATCCCACAATAAAAATTGCACGCACATAAACTCCACAGTCCTTACATAGACGCCACATGAAGCTCACAGAAAAGTCATTTCGATCGCGACAAAATCATCAAAACCAAACGAATTACAGATGAAGTACCAATTAACACAGTAATATAACTTACAAAAGGAACCCACTGAGATGCCCGTCGCCGAAGATGAAGCACCGGAAACTCAGCTACCGGCGCCAACCGATTCCACCTTATCCGATGCAACTCCGTCAAAATACTCGCCCTGTACCGCGACGAGAACTTCATGGCCTTGAATTTTCCACGTCCATCGCTCCTCACGCTCAAGTTGAACTCATTGGAATTCTCATCGCGGCCGAGAATCGGCGCGGCGCCCTCAAAATCGCTCGCCACGTCATAGGAGTTCGTAACGGCGAGCGTGGAGGGGTCAAGAGTGAGAACAGTGACGCTAGAAATGCAGAGTATCCGCTTATAGCGACCGCGCCACGAGTGCTTGACGACCATGTAGCGCGCCAGGTACTCAGGCTCTTCGAGAGGCGGAGGAGCAGAATTGGTAACGGCGGAGGAGTTGGCGGAGTTTTCCATGACCGGCGGCGGCCTTAGGAGGACGTGGCGATTAAGATCGGATGCGCAGCGACTCACGGATTCGACCTGTGGAAGATGTGCGAGGGTGTGGACAGGTGGCGCATTGTGGAAGCGGAGAAAAAACCAGAGTCCCTGCTGCGACGATGAAGGTGCCGCCGCCGCCGCCGGGCTTCCGATAGGCCGAGAGTGATTCGCCCCCAGCTCTGAGACTTAGAAGCGTTGTGAATGCATTCAATTTTGGGTGGATCGATGAAACCCTAACTACAATGATTTGCTCATCCAATGCAAGGTTTGGATTGGGGTTAGGATTGGGAATGGAAGGGTTAGGATTGGAAAATGGAATCGTAGCAAGAGATCCAGTTCGAGTCTCCGAATTTGCGAGAAAATTAGAGAGGATAGACCCAACGCGCACCGTCTACGTCCGCCAGATGACGTGGCCTGTTCTTATTCGCTATGAATAACACCTTACTCCCTCATCCCAGTTACTCCCTGTTATGCCACCGGAAATTCTTTCATCTGCTTGTATGTGTAATAATTCTCTACTGTAAAATTGGTTTTTCGTTTTGTAATATTGAAATTAGAATAGATAAAAGGTTAAATTGTTCAATAAACTGCTCAAACTTAAATTAAATTGAAATTTAAATCACTTTTTTAATATGAGCAACTTTAAATAAAAATAAGATTCAAAATTAAACTCGTTCTTGTTTTAAAATTACAAAATATAAAATCAATCAATTCTGAAATGTTATAGGTGGCTAATTACTCTACTATTTACCTACTTTTGAATAACAAATTAAAGTACACTATTTTCTTAAATAAGGGTATTTATAAATTGAATTAGTATGATTTTGGAGAAAAAAAAACAAAATTAATTAGTTTAATTTTATAATAAGTTTTGTCAAACCTAAATCTAATCAACTCGAAAAAAAATGTTAATTTTATTTGGAATAAAAATAAATAATTCAAATAAAAATCGATACTGCTATATAATTTTTTAATCCCTGTATATATGCGTTTGGACTTCTTTTTTGTCTAATCATTATTTTTAGACATCATATGAATTTTTTCTTACGATTTAAATATTGGTTCTTTTAAATTTTACAAATATACTTAAATGTTATTGGTAAATTAAAATTATTTTCAACAAAGCTACCACTCAATCACAAGTAAAACGATCAAGTAAATTGCATATTTATCTATTATAATTCCACTTCCCTCCTCCAAACTATTACTATTATTTATATAAATTAGGTCACATTTGATGAATTTTCATTACCTATTTACCAGTACAGAAGTTTAATTACACAAGTCTTTAATTATATCCGACTTTAAGGTGCATTTTAATGTTTTTATTTGAAAAATGTATATTTATACGTGTCTTACCTGAAATAGCATATCTACGGTGTCAAAAGAGCGAGTGAGCAGTGGATTAAAATAAAAATGGTCGTTTTAACATGAATTTATTTTATTAATAACAATTTCAACCTAAGCTGTTGCGTAATTGGAGTCCTTCAGGTTAAGATATAATCCAATATTTAAACTTAAACAATATAATTCTTAATAAAATTTTATAAAAAAAAAATTAATGAATATTTAGATCAAATAACTGTGCAAGTGATACTGTGTACATTTGAACAATAGATATTCTCATCTTCAGGCGCAAACATACGTAAACACATAAGTACTTGTATTTCTGATCAAGTAAAATTAAACAAAACTTACTCAAAGTCCAAATTATCTAAAGCCGCTCCAATGTTTATTTTGCATTTGCAAATGAACAAAGAGCCTATTCTCATATACGATAGATGGGTTCATATATGATAGATAGCAAAGGAAAAGGAAAAAAAGAAGAATTAAACATAAAAGATACAAATACTATGACCACATGTTTACCGCACTGGCTGCTGATTGTAATGGGCCTTCTCTTTTTTCTTGGCTGCCGCAAGTCTCGCATTCCTTGCAGCAGCCTCAGTAGCTGCAGCGCGGGCAGCAGCATCCATCTCTTTGCTTGATTTTTTCTTTTTCATTGAAGCAACTTTCTTCAGCCGTTCTTTAACATCAACTGCGGAAGCATCTTCAGCCTTCTCTGTTGCAGGAGTTTCAGAAATTGTATTGACAACATCCACACCATCAGGTTGATCTTGTAATTCTTTCTGCTCCTTCGAAGATTTATCCTTCTTCTTCTTTTTCTTAGCATTTTTGCTTTCCCCAGCAATGCTATCCTTCTTTTCCACCTCACCATCATGATCATCTTTTTTTTCCGCACCTAAATTTTCAAATCAAAGGCCAGTTAAAATTTTCCAAGCAATAAAGTTCTTGTAAAGCATTAATGTATTTTAAGAAGTTTGTGCGTACGGCTGAAAGTATTATATTACCATGGGAATCATCACTGGTTTCTCTTGGGGTATATCCTAGCTCAGCTAAAACAGCTTCAAGTTCTTCTAGTCCCTTTTTCTTTAGTTCCTTTTTTGAAAGCTGCCTTTCAGTTTCTTTGGTAATTGGTGATGGCTCCAGGGGCTTTTCAAGAACAGGCTCAGCTTCTACTGGTACTTCTAGTTCATTTTCATGTTCATCTTCAGCATCGTCTTCGGCATCATCAAGACCTTCTAACTCACTCTCACTTTCCTGATTTCAAATATTCACAAATGGATTCGTAACATAAAACATCAAAGAGAAATAGTAAATATACAAACAAAAGAGAAAAGTAATAATTAATATTAAACAAAAGACAACGCCTCTTAGCGACCCAGACTTTACATGTCAGATAATTTTATTAAGATTATTCTTTATTTTCAGTAATTTCTACTTTTCATAGTGAATGCACTGGCAACCAACCTGGTTTAAGCGTCACATTTAAGTTTGATCATTGATGGCATATAATAATCTTTCTACCATTGCTTTTTTTTTTTCAGGAATTTGAATATTATTTTCTTCCCATAAAATAAAATAAATGGCGAGATACTTGCTTAACTGCTGCTGTAGACATTTTCTAAAATGATGTTATAATCTCTTTAAACACATGCAGTTGAAACAAGACATTAAAACAATATCACTTTAATTACTTTTAAACTACAGCTCCATTACATCTTCCATGTTAGTTACTTGCTTATTAATCCTTGTAACATTATAATCAAAACAGCAAACCTACAAAAACAAGGCATTAATTGCAATAAACCAATGCCAAATCATCTTTATACCATTGCTTCTTTTTTTTGCCAGGAATTTGAATATTATTTTCTTCCCATAAAATAAAATAACTGGCGAGATACTTGCTTAACTATTGCTTTAGACATTTGCTAAAATGATGTTATCATCTCTTTAAACACACACAGTTTATTCCTGAACAAGACAGTAAAACAATATCACTTTACTTTAAAACTACTGATTCCGTTACATCTTCCATGTTAGTTACTTGCTTATTAATAGTAACCATCTATGAAGCCTGGATACTTGATACGACACGGATACAATACGATACGGATACGGAGATACAGAAAAAATTTAAATTTTAAGATTCGAGAAGGCTTAGATACTTTAACATAAATTTAAAAAAATAATATTTATAAAGAGATATTGATAATTAATTTATATTAATGTGTTACATTTTCTAAGCATGCTATATATAGGATCTGTGAAAGAAAGAATATAGTCTAATTTATCCCACCAATATCATTTAAAACAAGTTCTTTCATATGGACAGCTTTACCAACATCATCTTCTCTACAACTATTCCATTGGTCACTAATGACCATATTTTGCAAAGCACGTTTCAGCATCAAAACTCATTTTTTAACAAACACAGCTGTTGAAAAATACAAGAATAACATTTTTACTTTGTTGCTGTAAAATGAATAGAAAAAAGGAGATTAGAAAAGAGAAAGTTTGTGAGACTTTACCGCAACTGCAATAGAGTAACGTTTAAGACTGTTGCTGTAAAATATGGAAAAGAGTAACAAAACTGTTGCTGATATCACGAATTGGAGAATCAAGAATCGATGCCTTAGGAATTTGCTGGACCAGAATTGACCTCTCAAAAAACTCCAAATCACCTTGCTTCTGCAGTAGTTCTCGTTTCCCCAAGAGAATCGCAGCTCAAAGAAGTCCTAGCTGGGTTTTGATTTTGGGTGAGGTTCTGGGGCATTCCTATCTCGCAAAGAATGAGAGAAATGGGGAAATGGGAGAAGAGAATCGCAATTTGAAGAAGCCCTAGCTAGGTTTTGATTTTGGGTGAGGTTCTGGGGCACTCCTATCTCACGAAGAATGAGAGAAATCGGGAATGGGAGAAGAAAGAATGAAAGAAATGAAGAAATAGGAGAAGAAAGATTGAAACGCTCCATTTCAATAATAACCATATTGGAGCTGTTAGCCGAGCCGTATCAGATGATTTAAAGCCGTATCCAAGCTGTATCTCATCTGAAATTAATTTTTAATAATAAATTAAATTACGGATACTTTTGGGATACGTATCAGTATCGGATACGTGTCCGACACGGATACTTTCAGTATTTTCACGTATCCAGGCTTCATAGGTAACCATACAAGAACAGTTTAACTACACAAGATCAAACCCGTGTTAGAGTCAAAAGAATCATTGTAACGATATAATCAAAACAGAAAACCAGCAAAAACAGGCCGAATCATGAAACCGTTAACATAAATCATACATTCGAGCACTCGACAAACAAGGATTGATAAATATTGTTGCGAAGTGAGACAATGGAACAAGATTTGGACAATAATTATCCACAAAAACAAGATAAATCACACATTCAACAACTCGACTAACAATGATAGATAAATATTGCCACAAAGCTAGAAAATAGAACAAGATTTGGACAATCATTGTCCACAAAAAACAAGACAAAAAGAAATTAAACTTTGTATCTTTTAATTTGAAAACAACAACCATGCAAATCAATAAAGGTGTGTTTAATTACTCATTAGAAAACCTCTGCGTTTGCACACGTTATTACTAATGCACACATGTTACTTGAGAGGATTTAACATGAAAGCAAAATTCTTGTACTGGCCGAGACATCTGTTAGGCTCTATTCTAGTGTACTTAATACTCAATCTTTTTCTACAAAGATATAATAAAAACACCCAATTTTAAACACCACATATAAATTAAAAAACACAAGGTCAAAATAAATAAATAACAAATTAAGACAGACACAGACACAGCCAAAATTCTTTGACCTTTATATCAGAAATAGTAAATGAAACATCCAAGGTCCGATTGATTTTCACATTCAACATTTATAAACAAGCATTAGCTACATGTATAAATTTTGAAATTGCAGCTCAACCACTCCACAGTCTTGTCAAACAAACAATTATACACGGCAGAGGCTAATGTTGTGTTTGGATGAAGTAATTCTAATTTACTAGATCATATGAGAGCAAAAGCGGCATGTTAAACAACTCTCCAATAATCCTAAAACTCTCCATACAACACGACCTAAAGGATTCACAGAAAAATTTGAACTAACAACAATCATCAAAAAACAGACAATCAGAAGCATTGCGTATCGAGTATCCAAGGGAAGATAAGGTAAAAAAAAATCACCTCGGGAACGGCATCGTTTTGAGTGAGGGTGTGTGAAGTAGGCGGTGCAGCCCAACCTGATTCAGGAGGAGCGGTGGTGGCGTAATAGTCGTCATCGTCTTCGTCGTCGACATCGGCCCAGGACTTAGCGGTAAGAGGTGCGGGGGCCCAGAAGAGCTCCTTTTGGTGGGGCTCTTGGGCTTTGGGCTCGGAGGAGCCCTGGTCCTTTTCGGGCTTCTTCTTCTTCTTCTTCAAGCTGCCGAGCGCAGCAAAAACGTTGGTGCTGTTTATGACGGGGACGTCCTCCCTCCTGTTCCCTCCGCCCACCATTTGCAATCTAAAAGGGTTGTTGGGATTGGCGCAGTGAGGAGTAAGATCGGGAATGGAGGAATGGGGAATTTAGGGTTTTGTGATCTGAGAATGAATGTGGAGAAAACGGTGCGTTTTGGTCAGAGGATAACGATAGTGAGTTGAGGTGAGAGGCGGGGATCAACTCAGAAACAACGAATGAATATGATTACGATGTTGGGTCTGTGACTGTTTGCATAGCATACACCTTTGGGATTTTATAGAACCTCTGTTCTGTGCGCGTGTTCTTTCGGGTGCGGTAAGGTCCCTGTGGATGTGCTGCCACTTCTCCCCTTCCGTGTGAAACCTAGAAACTCATTTCGGAACCCAATATTCACACACGTGTCATCCATCTTTCTAACTTGTTTCCCTCATCAATATCAACTCTCGTCGTAAGTGATTTTTTTTTATATACATATTTATTTTTAATATTAAGATTATTTTTTATTCAAAATATTCATGTTTGACTCACAAACATTTACGATGGATCATTAAATTTGGCACTTTAGAGAGAATTATGAGTTTATTAATAAAGTTAATCATTCATCGGTCAATAAATAATGACAATTAGAAACAAAATTAAAGTCAGATATCCAAAAATTATTTTTAATGTTCAACAATGTTTAAAAAGTGTTTAAACAAATCAACTTAAGATAACTTTTTTTGTCCCCAAACACATAAATTAATTAATAAAAATTATTTTAATTCAACGTGTGACACAAATTTGAGTTTTTGTCATCAGTTTTATCTTACTCTGAACAATTACATCCAACAAGTGATATATATTGTTTAAATAAAGAATATATATTTTTCTTTTAATTTGAATAAGTTGATTTAGGTAAAATTATAAACTTGTGCTTAAAATATTGATACAAATTGGCATACAAAAGTGCCAATAAAAGTATACTATAAATATATTTAAAAATATGCAATGTATTTATGATGATAAAATTCAAACTTATGTAAGATCATGCTTCCGTGTTGCATTATTCAACTTGTTTGAAGTGAATTGCCCGGGTTAAAATTATTTGAAAATGAATTATTAATAAAAACAAGAGTACGGTTATTTATTTATTTTAAATTATTTTCATTATTTTTAATATTTCAATGTGACGGTATTTTTGTATATTTTCAAATTTTATTCTATAAAATTGAAAATATTTATCAAACCCGATGTGGCTAGAGAAAATATTAAAATTGAAAATAATACAAGTAATAGAGTAGTGAACAATGTAACTTGTTTCCTTCAAAATTTAAAGCCTCTTTTTTTTTCATTAGCAAAAACATGGTGCATTTGGGCGGCATGCATGGTTTGAGCATTTAATCATAATTGTCATTTCATTACATTAACGTCACTGATAATAAATATTTGGCAAAGAGTGGTAGTAATACTTTTACACGGAAAAACGGTGCTTTTATCACTATCTATCCATTTTACCCTCTGTCTTTGTCTTTATGCAATTTAATATTTCGATAGAAAAATAAAAATAATGTCGGAAATTCGTTTTCTGAATAAATATTTATTAAATAAATGTTATTAATTATCATAATTTAATGTTGCAAGATAAAATAAATATTTTTTCTAACGTATATTAAAAGAAATATAATTGAAATATACATATAATAAGTTTTAATAAAAAAAATAAAGAGTAACATAAAATTAAATGCATTGACAACATTAAAATTATCATTTCTAAGAAAATTTTAATTACCATGAATTGACATTGAGAGATATAAAAGAAGCGAGAAAATAATATATATATATATATATATATATATAATTTTAAAAATTAAATAATATAATATATGAGAATGTTATTAATAGTAATTAATTTTTATTAAAAATTATTTACTATACTTCTCTATCTTCAATATGATTTTTTACTTTTAAATTTAGTTTCTTAAAAATGAAGTTAACACATTTGATAATTTATTTCACTGATTTATATATTTATTCAATCGATTTCTATATATTAAATATAAACTAACATTATTAAACAATATTCTTTTTAAGATTTGCCTTTATCGATAATATTAATTATCTTTGTCATTGTGCATTTACTTTTAATTGTTTTTATGAATTAATTTATAATTTAAAAATTGTATATCTTTAATTTAGTGTAATTTAATGCACTATGTAATTTATTATTGATAAAAATATACTCAATTGTATTTTTTTTTTTAATCACATGTCTTGTTTGCTTTAGTTAAGTATGATAATTATAATAGTAAAACATTTTTTAAAGTATTTAACATTGTTATATTTACTTTGACTTAAAATTATAAATTAAGTTAAAAAATTATTATTTATCATTTGAACCACGTATTTATGATTTATTCCCTTTTGTTAAATAATTCACTTTGTGTGTAGAGTATTTTTATTTACAAAGAAATAAAAGAAACACACCTCTTTATTAGTACATTTTTTTAAACACAACTTTTAACTAAAATTTATTTAAAATTACAAAATATAAAAAATAATAATAAATTAGAAGTAAAATAAGAAAAACGAAACGCACGTAATTTTTATATATTTTTTTCAAACGCTAAACGATGTGTGAAGCAGTGTGATGGTATTTCTTCCCTATCGTGTGGCCATCCAAAATTAGAACCGTAACCCTAGAATATTAGTTAAATTAACTGAAATATGAGTTTCCAAAAATGCTGAAATCCCGTCTTTTAATGTGGGGAGGAGTAGCAAGACAAACAGACATGGCTGGCTATTCAAACCTGATCAAACTTTTTTTTTCTAAAAATCCTCCCAATATGTGATCTCACCCATACTTGAATTTGCAATGAAATAATCATTTTCCTTAATAGCAAAGCATTTCATCTGATGACAGAAGAAGCACTTCTTTCATAAATTTCAACAACATCCACACAATAAATTATTAAAATGGGGGGGAAAAACCCAGAAAAAATTCACGATGAAGCAGAATTATCAAAAGTTGTTCCTACGTGCTGAATAACAAAACCGTAGATCTTTCTCTTCAATTTCTCAATTTTTTCCGTCAGTGAGTCATCCCCTTTGGATACCACGCGATCCAACCATGCATTTACACGTTTCAAGTGTGATAAAACAACAGCAATGGAGCCACCATCCAGAGGCAAAGCTTTTTTCCCATCAGCAGTGCACTCTCCAAAAACCTTAAAACCTGCATCAAGGGATTCCTCAACAAAACGTAGAAACCATATTTGCATTTCAGACAGCAAATTTGCTCCAAGCTCTACTGTCTCTTTCATTCCTTTACCTCTTGCCCACACACCAGCACAAGGGGGGCTAGATTGTGGTGATGAAGGAACCTTCATATGATTCTTTGCTGCACTGAGAGAGTGTCTTTTTGATAAGCTTTTCTGCAGTGTTGATGGAGGATCAGCACTTGTTCCAGTAAGAAGGGATACTATCTGAAGATCAGTGGCCAATGCAGCTTCCACCCAAAGAGAGAGTGATTTTGACTGCTCAGTTGAAATGCTGTCATCAGGTGTCTCAGAATCATGTCTATTGGCAACGGCTTCAGCCATTGCAGTTGATTTCAGAACATCATCGTAGATAGTGAAAAATCGGTCTATGGTTGGCAAAGGGTTTCTGGCCTGGCACACCGAGCAGAGGTCTGAAAACATGCTGAGGTGGGCAGAAGGAACATAAAAAAAATGTATCGTTCATATTAGCCATTAAGTAGTAAGTACTAAGTCGAATATGTTAAGAAAAAGATCACATGAATTAACACCCCTTAATAGAATATAGACTCTCCACTACTGAAGGTTTAAAAATTGAAACTTCAAATAGATTTCGTAAGCGTGGGACATAAAAAAATCTGTTCCAAAATAAAATTAAGTCGAAATGTAATTATTACCTTAAATTTCTTATCATACATTCAGTAGCATTGGCTTCCTCCAATGCTTCAGCAGCAGCAGCAGAAGCAAGAACCTTCCTTTGCATTGCTTCCTGAATTTAGTAGATAAGAAGGGACTTAAACTTAACAAAGCGATTGAAAAGGCCAAATTAAACGTAGATGCATTGCAGTTTTCTTTTGCATAATGATTGATTATTTCTTAGGTCCTAGTCCTTGATCAGTTTGGTACCTATCCTTTCTATTAGCTTGTTTTTGTTGGATTCAGATCTCTCTTAGGTCGATACCCATAACCTGTCCTTTCGCCACATTGCAACATATACCTTAGAGGGTGCAAAATCTGTTTTTATGTATGTATGTTATCTAATTCCATTAATATTGTATCTTAAGCAAAATCGCTACAAACAAAGTGGTAGTAAATTTGCAAAGTTCATACCTTTCCAAGCCTTGAAAGGTTCGCAGATACTGCATCCAATGGAACACTTCCATCGGTCCATTTCTTCTCATGAACGGTGACACCCATAGCAGTGAAATTGGACTTGTCTTGGTCAACACAACTTTGAGAAGAACCGGCTTTAGTCTTCTCACTGATTGAAGAATCACTGCCACCAGGTTTTTGACCATTCACATCACTCAATCGCCTAGACATTGCAGCCTGCAAATTACAAACACACAAAACCCACATTAACAATTCGAATTATTACACACTCCCAATCGTAATTAGCTATATCTAAGTCAACACGTGTACAAAATTTCAGTACTTTGGCACGTGTTTACATTACCTGAGTACGCAAAATTGCTTGTGGATCAACCTTATTCTTAGAAGCCCCCTTTTCTTTGGGTTCAGCTTCACCAGGCGTTAGCGGCGGTTGCTCATCCCAATTCTTCCTCGCACTCTTAGCAGATCCAACCAGCGCATCAGAGACCTTGGAAATTCCGGCAACCATGGTGGCCATCTTCTTCTTGCCGGCAGAATCCAGCACCACCGGCGAAACCTTGAGCCCCCCGGACAGCCTCCTCCCAGGAGAAAGCGAAGCCCTTCTCGGATTCGGAGACGGCTGCTTCCTCCCGGTGGGTGAAGGCTGCCGGTACCTCGACGGCACAATAATCGCGGGCTCTCTCGCCGCCTTCCTATTCTCCTCGCGAGCCGAAACGAGGCTGGGAACCACACACTTAGACGGCACCGGCGACGCGGAGCGCTTCCCCTTTCCCGCCGGCGAAGGATCCCTCTCGGGCGCCGTCGCGACACTCTTATTCCTGGCAGCAGACTGCGACCTCTTGGCAGTGGCCGGAGAAGAGAACCTCTGTGGCGGAAGATTGTCACGTGACGCCAGAGGCTGCCTCGGGGTAACCTTCTCCTTCTCCTTCTCCTTATCGTCATGAGCTAATCTACCAATCGGAATAGGTTGGTTGTTATTAGAGAGATAGAGAGAGAGGGGATCGTTGGTGTCAGAGTCAGAGAGGGGTTGAATGAGGAAGTGGCGCGTGGAGGGGGAGATGCGAGCTACGAGAGGCTCGGGGGTTCCGAGGAAAGGGTGGCGACCGGCGAGGGGGCGAATGGAGGAGACAGAAGGAAGAGGGGAATCGAAGTGGAAGCGATCGACGTAGACAAATTGACCTATCTGAAGCCTGTTTGAGAGAATCATATCGGTGTCAGGGTGAGATAGTAGAACGTAGGTGCAGTTGAGCGAGTCCGAGAGGTTTAGGTAGAACCCTTGGTTCGACCAGAGGTCCGAACCAGCTAGGGCCGGTACGATTCCTATTACCTGGAGGAGAGGGGACCGGTGATCGCCGGTGACGCGGGTGTTGCTGTTCATGGCTTGCAACATCTTCAGCAGGATTCCTGGGGTTAGGGAAGCCATTGTTGCTATTGCTGCTCTGCTCTGCTCTGCTCAGCTCAGAGCGTGAAAGAGTGAATAAAAGACAGAGAAAGAGAGAGAGCGGTTACATACACTTTGAATTCAAATATTTGTCCCGTTGCTCGTCTCCACTCTCCTGTCCGTTTATTTTTGAATTTGCGGCCCCCACATATACGTTACCGTTGCTTGTTTTTTAATGTTTCTTTCGAATCAAGATAAGAAATTCGGAGAAAAAATGTAACAGAGTGAATATCAGTATTGTTTAAATTGAGAAAAATAAAATGATGGAATTTGGCTGCTCAAACTAAGAATATGGGAAGCTAATAAAAAAAATTACAATGATAAAGACATTCTGGACATGAAATGTTTTTTCCACTTGGGTAAATGTTACTGGGCTTTATTTTGTTGGTACGAGTTTTTATCTTTTCACTTACACTTATAGTTGGGCTGGGTTGGGCTTGAGGTGTCAAACCTATATGATGACTAAGGTTAGTTCATTTTACTACATGATTGGCCTAGTTGTGAACATTACACGAAATGTACTCATGCAAGCATGATCACACATTGATGTTTCACGAGCTATTTAAAAAGTATTTTTACACACTAAAAAAATGGAAAGCAAGAGGAATCCAAAATTCTTGAAGAATATACATGTAAAAATGTGGCAGGACACATCTTTTTTGAGGTCCGAGGCTTATTTAATCGGTGAGCTATAGTAAAAATACAAGAAAAATATATAGACCCAAAGCTTTCTTTATGATGTCTGCTAGGCGCAACAACATTAAAGAAGAGCCACGAGAGATGATCACAGGAAATTGACAACCCTTTTCTGATGGATCCTCATCCGTTACAATAGCCAAACCAGAGAAATCGCAGTCCTCGTCCCTCTGGTTATTTATTTGATAATACATATTAAAGGCATAAGAAGCATTCCCTTGGAGAGTTAGACTATTACAAGAAGAGCCATAGCCCAAAGCCGTACAATCAGATTTGCTACAAGCATAGTCAATACTATCAGGCAAGTAGTGCAAGTCCCTTGTCTCTGGATCCAAGATACACCACTGCTTTTCCATGTACTTCACACCCTCCACAGGAACCAGACCCTTATCCTCTTCTTGTCCTGTTAAGTCTAGTTCATACTTTGGCTTCCCATCAAACTCAAAAATTCCCCAATGCCTCTCAAAGTTGCCAGGATCAATACTTTTAGCATTCTCATCAATAAGACTGAATAGATAAATATCAATTATGCCTTTCCTTTTAGGGGTACCATTTCCACTCAAAGCATGTTTAACCAAACCCATGTTGAACCTTTTTGCATTCTGGACATTAGCATTCTTATCACCATCAGTTGGCCACCCCACTTCTCCAACTATAACTGGCATGTCTGGAAATCCTGCCTTATCTAAAGCCCAAAGAAGGGTATCTAGATTTGCATCAAATACATTAGTGTAAACTGAATTACCATCTACGAGAGGCTTGTTGGTTCCATCAAAAAATGCAAAATCGAAGGGGAAATGATCATTTCCATAAAGACTAAGGAAGGGGTATATGTTGACCGTGAAAGGTGCATTGTTTGAATATAAATATTGGATTATTTCAATTGTCTGGTCTCGTACTTCAGGCCTGAAGTCACCAGCTGATGGCACTTGATTTGAGTCTGGAGAATAGTAAACATCAGCATTGAAGGGAACCGTGGCTTTGATCTTTGAAGCCAGGCCCCAATTATTGAGCGCTGTTTGTATATTCTTAAGTGCTGGCAGAGTTGACTGTATATACATGCCATTATATTCCTTAAGGAAAGGCTCATTACCCACGGCAACATACCTGAAAATTGGCATCACAACATAGTGCAGAATAGAGTCAAAATAGGTGGCTTTAAACATAACGACAGCTGAAACTTATACATGACATACAAGAACATAAAGGACAAGAAAGAATCAAACACTAGTCTTATTTTATTAGTTCAATAAGCTAAATAGATTAAGAAAATGAATATGCATTGGAGCCTATAAAATTTTGACACAAAAATCAGTTGTTACAATATGGTAATGTTGACTTCCATGAAAAATCTTGTGATACTATATCAAGATTTTGACTATGAAAAATGAAAGACAAGCTAGCAGCATCTTGAATAAAAGAAACTTTTTATTCAAGATAAAATGAAAGAAAGGAGAAACAAGCAAGAGTGAGTAAAATAGTAGAAACTTTTTAAGGATTGCAAGGAGAAAATAAAATAACGTGATCATGAATGTTGAATATCCTCAAAGGACTACTTAACTTGATATTTAGTCCACCAGGGTACATGTAACTGGTGACATTTTCATAAACCCAAGCATCTGCAACCTTAGGATTCTTACTAATCTCTTCCAACATGCTATTGGGTATTGCCAGCATCACTTCTATATCAGTCCCCATGAGAGCTGCCATAATCCACTCTTCAGCATCAAATAACTTGAGTTTATCAAAACCATTTTCTTGAAGCATCTTGGTCACCTTCTCTGTTGGAAGCTGGTGTGTTGCCATGGTTCCCCAGTTCACTCCAACCGCAGAGCCACGTGAGGCCATGGTTATGAAGACAAGGAAGAATGCCACTAGGTACCTAACACTGAATACCTTTTCTTGTGCCATTTTGTGGGCTTCCTTTTGTTTCCTATATTCTGGTATTGGCCTCGAAACTAGCAAAGATTCAAGTATAATAATGACAGAACAGAACCCAAAGAAATGGGAGAAAAAGAAAGGGGAAGGTTTGATTCTTGGTGCCAGAATTTATGGACAAAGAAAGGTTTCTTTCATAGGGCGTGTGTTTCAGTGCCTTCACAGAGAAGGTAAAACAAAGACTTAGGACTGAGAATTATAATTTTTTACAATAACATAAAAAGCAGGAAATGGAACAAAGATTCGTTGCTTAATTCAGTTATAATGCCAGGCGATGCCAGCATGTGTTGCATTAGTGTTAAGCTCTTGTATTATCATCATAAGAATTGTAAAAGACTAAAAGGAGTTTCTGTAAGGCCAATCAAGTGTCTCTCCTACCAGCATGCATACGAAATCCTACACATCACAGCCCATTTAAGCCATTAGATAATTAAATGCTCTTTAAAGGAATGATATTTTATAAATTTTGCTATATTCTACTGCTTATTCTTCTCCTACTTTATGATGTTACTATTAAATTAAAACAAATGCATACATTTTTATTTTCAAGACATAGTTTTTTTTACTATTTAACAATTAAGATAATTTATTGTAATAAATGGTAAGAAAATTTAGAATCATTCATAGTTTAATAAAATCCGGCTCTTCTAAAGTGAAATTTCAATCACTAATAAAAAAATCAATAATTGATATTAATTAAAAATATATATTTGGTTCTCTAACTTATTTATTTGTATTGCTCTAATCCTTTAATTTTTAATTAAATTTTTAAACGTGATTCAAATAGATTTTTTTATGTTAACTATATTAATTTCATTAAAGAATTTGTCTTTTTCGGTGATGTCATTGTTGGTTTTTTTTTTCTTTTTCAACGGGAAATTGGAGGCACGAAACAGAGGGGCAATGAAGTGATGGTGACTCAGAATGCAGGTGCATTCATGGCCTATAATGGGGTTCATAACTAGTTCGCTTCCTACCTCGTGACCCGTGGTTGGTTTAGATTGAAATGTGGACGTTTTTGGTGTTTGTGCAGTGGTCTCTGAGTAAGTAGAAATGAAGGTGTTATGCTGTGAGTTTTTCAAAGAAAATGAGTGAAAGGGTGAGAGAAAAATTTGAGGAGGAAGAAAAGGTAGTAGTAGTCTTGAAGCAGGAGAAGAATGAATAATGATAAAGCAGAATAAAAAATAACGAAGTTAATAATAATAATAATAATAAATCATACTTAAAAGGTAGAGTTGCTTAATAATAATAATAATAAAAGCTATGAAAAGCTACTTCAAATAACATTATTTTATTGAAAGTTAGAGCTACATATGTTCTCTTTTTTGTCTTTAACTTTTTAAATAATTTATATGCAAATAAAATAATTCTAACTCACCATGTTCCTCACCTAGAATTGTTACTTCCCTCGTTTCTCATTTAAATAATTGTTTGATATATAAAAAAAATAATTAAATAGAAAATTGTTAATAAATAAAAAATGGGTAATCTTTAATATTAATATTATATCATTTATTTTAACAATTTAATATATTAAAACTAATTTTATCAAATACTTTTAATTAATTCAATCAACTATTTAAAAGTTATAAATTATAAATTTTTAGCTAATTTTACTTTACAAGTTGTTTAATAATTTTCTAAGACAGCAACGTACTCTCTCTTCTTCTTTTTTTTCTTTGAATACCCTAATCTTCGATTGATATAGAATTAGAGATATAGAATTGATCGTAGTATATGCAGGTTAAGTCTCTACCCCACCTAATTATCACTATATATAAAACAAAGCAAAAATACTCGTTGGAAGTTATAGCTTTAAGAGAAGTTTATATATTAATAAAACCTCCATTTTTTCACACTAAAGGAAATTAAAAGCATAAATGAAAAGTTGAATTAAGCTCTCATTCTCTCTTGTGATGCTGCAGTGACAAACTAAAAAGGCATGCAAGTTTGGTTTTGGTGCAGTCCAATTCATTGCTGTCAATATTAATTTTGTTTTTGTTTATGCTAACGTACTAAACTGCAGTGTTGTTGCTTTCAAAATGGAAGGTAGTAAAAAAATGGCATGCAAAATGGGAAAACAAGACACTTTGGTTACGGACAACGCATTGACTACTAATTGATGACCAAAATAGAAGAGAGACATGATCGTCAAATCTCTAACTTTACACCTTATAGTTACGTGTACCCTTAATCTCGTTATCCTTTGTGAATATCTTTTTCACAAAGCATAGCCTTTTGCTTTAATAAAGGGTGTACGTCTAAGGACTCCATTTTGTATTACAAAAGACCATTTCCCATATTTAGAAAATTAATAAATAGGGTATATTCAAAAGTTATCCTCACATGAAGCATTTATAGTTTCCCAGTTTTTGTCTGTCATAAGAGTCCGTGATGATTAAAAGTTTTTTGATTAGGACTGTTTAAAAATGAGTTTTTGTTCCAAGTAGATAAATAAGAGTGTATTTATCTCATATTTAATGCATGCTTGGCATAGATTTTTTAGAAAACATATTTGTTTATTTTTTAAAGATTCTCTCGTAAAATTTATAAAAGAAAGTAATTATTTTTTTAAGACTTTATTTAAGAGTTTAAAGAAAAGAAAAGAGAAGGATAAAGGATAGAAGGAAAAAGGAAAGAAAAAAAAGAAGGAAAAAAGTATATTAAATCTTTCTTTTATTTGAATGTTTAATTTTAAAAAAAGAGACTGACGTGAGTTTAAATATATAAATAATATTATTATATTTTATATATTTTATTTATATATTTTCTTAAAAAATTATTTATTTTTTTTTATAAATTTTTAAAAAAAAATCTCATTTGAAAAAATAACATTTAAAAAAATATTAAAATTCTAATAGTGAAAGAGTACGAAAGAATAAGAAAAAAAAATATTATAAAATCTCCAGTTTAAGAGAACTTAAAAAATTAGAAAAACTTTCAAACTATTTCTCTCTTAATTAAGTAACTATCAAACAAAAGTTAACTCTTCTTAACTCTTCTCATTCTCTTCTATTCCCTCTTGAACATAATTTTTAAACATAACCTAAATAAAATAAATAAAAAACACATTTAATTTAAAGTACATTTTAATTTAATTTACTACAATTAAATTGTAAGTGCCATTTTAGTTATTAACTTTGAAATATATTATTTTACAGTGTTTTCAAATACTTTGACATAATATAACAAGACATATAAATATGAATTTTGACAATTGTTCGTATATTAACCTTATCTTTACATCACTCGTTGTAGTATTACCAAGTCAACTAATCTGTATATGATAATATATGATCTGATTATAACTGAAAAAATTATACACTTATAATCAATTTAAATTAAATTTAAACTGTTTTTATAGTCATTCAAACATGTACATTGAGTGGCGTTGTATGGTGAGAAAGATTTTAGGCGAATTCATATGGAATCAAGGTAATTTATTTGTATTGGTTAAATGGAAAGTTAATGATCAAAGCAAAATACAGTTATTTGACAGGAAATCGAGGAAGAGAATTTGTATATGGCATTTATTTAAAGACTTTATACCAATCAAGAATACACATTTTTATAGCAAGCACCAACTAGTTTTTATGCACTTGCTAACAATGAGCAACTGTAAAGTAACACAACTATTTTTTATATACTTGCTAAGAGCCCAGGATTTTGGTTTCTTTGGATTACTTCTTTCCAACGTAAGACAACTATTTTCAGTTTCAACGAATCAACGATTGTTTGCAAAGCAAGCATGAGCTTTGTATTGGAGCTTCTTTTTTTTTTTTAGTCAACTGTACTGGAGTTTTTTTTTTTTTTTTCTGGGTCAAGTACTAGAGCTTCTGATTAAACAAACTAAACTGATAACCACACATAAACTAGTCCACTTGTAAATTGTTTTGTAATCCACTAAGTCCTGTCACCCCCTTTATCTCATCTTTTTATCACTTTACTTTTAAACAAATCAAAACCACCATTTTGAGAATACCTTTGACCTGGTTCGAAATCTAATCCTTTATGGAGATTATGACTGAATGATTGTAGTACTTTTTTGTGTACACTAAAAGAATTTTCTCATCAATATAAGGAGACTAATTTCTTTGGAGGTATAAAAATTATCAGAATAAAATTTATTTTTCTTAAAAAAATAATCTTTCTTGTACAAATGGACAAAAAGTAATCAACATATTTAAGCAGTCCAATTGCAATACTACATATTCCTTTTTGCCGAAAGAAAAGATATGATATCATTCAAGATTGGATTACTCTGCTATGCCACTCGTCCCCTTTTTTTTTTCGATAAAGATAACAATTTTACTTACATCAACTCTTAGAACTAATTTTAACACTTAAAAGCAAATTTTATTGAAAATATTTTGCCTTTACATCCTCCATTTAATAAATACTTTCTTTTTTCATTAAAAAAAATGCCATTTTTAGTTATTTAAAAGCAACCTTAAACATTAATGTTAACGTTTTTCAAAAAGTAAAATTAAAAGTTAAATCATCAAATACTTATTTTATATTAATTACGTTTACCCTATATCGGGCTCTTATTTGGTCAGCTATCCCTTAAGTTCCGTAATAACGAGGATGAACTGAACATCTTGAAAGATCATGAACCCCAAAATAAGCTTAAAATTTCTTGGACATGAATCTGCTGCAGCAATGTTAATTTTTGTTTTTCTGGTCTATAGATCCATAGAACAAAGCTCAACGAAAAAAAGACCATAAAACACCCAACTGGTCCAGGAGACAGTAATACAGCAGTGTCATAAGACAAAGACAAGTCACCATGGGCGTTCTTACTGAGCAAGAGAAACCCACTGAGCATAATCTGAGAGACATACCCCAAGATCTAAAATCGACTGAAATAGTGCATATTCTCAATGTATTCAATTTTGCAAACCGTTATAATTGCATACAATAAAGTAGTGTCGTTTAGCCTGATTTGCTGCCAAGAGGACAGAAATTCTACTATTGTTTTTCCAAAAAGCACTTGTGCATTTTACTGCTTTTGTGATTGGTCCACAATCTACACTAGTATAGTAGTTGTCGGCAAAATAATCCATACGCTGAAATACACAATAATATTATAATTACTAGGGTATAATTCCAAGGAAAGAATTACCAAACGCGGGTTTAAAATTAACTGGGCACTTTTTGGTTTGACGCCCGAGTGAGTATATTAATAAAATAGCAATAAATCTCAAGAAGAAAGAATATCCTTCTATAGATTGGATGAACATGGTCTACTCCTTATGTTAAATTTGTCACGTTTCACTATGATTGTCTTTGAGTCAGACAGAAAATGGCACCGAATCAATCCATGCACATGCATGGCCCTGTCAAATGCTGAAAACTAAGGTGATAAAATATACAAAGCTAACTTCTCTTCAGTATCACCGAGGACAATGTTATTGAGTACCTTCACTAACGCATGCTCCTGGCAACCTGAAGCTTAAACAAAACATTGCCTGCATGGTAAATAAAAGCAAGGGCCATAAGTAGGTATGTTCTAGTGTTCTACAATTCAACTAGAAGATAAATGAATTACCAAAAATGATCGAAAAAGTAATACTGAATTACTGATACCTTGTTTGGAGCCACATCCCTAACCCTATGAAATGTTGGGTCTTGTATCGGAACATTTAAAGCAGATTCTGCCTCCTGCAAGGTAAAAGATCAATTAATTGTCCAAAAAATCAAAGTACACATATTTTATCATTGTCTGTATCCAAGTTGCATACAAACTCTAGGTAACTAACCCATCGGTATAAATGGAAGATTTTAAATACCACTGAACAGTAAAGTTATTGAAATTCTAACCATAACATAGAAAAAACAAAATGAGAAACACCATTAGCAGAATGAACTCACAGCTAGTATAGATTCAGGAGTTTCAGTTGCCCTAATGAAGCAATAGCAGTGGATTTGTGGTAGACATCCTTTCCAATATTTCCTTTGGATTAATCCCCTGAATGCATCTGGCAAGGCACATCTTTAGTCAGATATCTGCCTATAAATATTAAAATGGTAATTAAAAAAGAGTCCTGTAAAAGAATCTATATACATTCAACCACATTGCAGCACACACAATAAAACATTTGCTAAGAAATGATGTCATTAATGAATCTTGGTTTAGATTATGATAGCTAATTCAATAAAAAAATGTTGGCCTTAGCCAGAGGATTCCTCACAAAAATGAATACCTTAACTCACCAAATTTCATTACATTCCCATCAAAATATATACTAAATATACATCAATGCTTACAAAAACAAATATCTAAACTCACCAAATGATTTGTAAAAGAAAATAGTAACATCATATCAAATGGCATTGTACCTAGAAACTGAACAGCAGATGCGGGTAGGTTCATTATTACGTGATCAACATGTTCCCAAGCTTTTGTGTCAGATATTTCAGGGCCTCTCATTCTCTTGTTTTTGCTTCCTTTTCTGCTATCACCATCACGGATGTCAGTTTCATGAGCCTTTCCATTCCCTGTCCAATAAAAATGACTGTAACTTTTACTTTCAACCTTACAGATTATGGTTATCAATGTTGTAATTAATTTCTTAGGAGATGGGGACTGTTAGACCAAAAAAGGTTTGTCTTTCAACAGAAATTGTAGAAATCTTTGACAAGGTAGCAGATCAAGTAACAGCTACATCTAGTGGCAGACTGATTTGATACTGCAGCCTGTAGAATACCTTCATCATAACTACTACAAGATCTTTTAACGGCAATTACAGATGTAGCACCACGCCTCACTGAACCTTGTACATCCGCTAAATCACAACCATTGCTGTCTCCTAGGTCTTTTGTATCAACTGCAATAGGAATATTAGTTTTTAAGGAACATATCCTCATACAACATACAGTTACTTGCAGTTATTCACCATAAAAGATATTACCGGTTAGCAACTCATTTTCAGAATTTGATTCAGCATTATCTCGTATCTTGCATGTGTGACAAGTGTCCAAAATGGGTCCTTCACGTTCTAACATAATCTCAGTATTTGGCAATTTCATCAACTGGGATATGAATTTTCTAGCATCCATGTTGTATGCATAAATGCGATCATCAACCTTATTGATTTTGGCATTAATCCTCAGATAGTGAATGCTATCCGGATTTAAATCATTTGCATAGACTATGCATCCTTTCTGGGCTGCAGGAATGGCAAAAGGACCTATACCAGCAAACATATCACAAATGGTCTCTCCAGCTTGAAACATTGAGACTAACCTTCTGTGCTCATGTTCCAATCTGGAATTCCAATAAACCAATCTGTAATCAAGCCTAAAAGTGGCACCATATTGCTTCACCTCTGTAATCATATTATGATCTCCAGCTAAAGTTTCAAATTCTGGCACACGAAATTCATTCGTAATGGTTCCAACTTTATTAACAACAGTTTTGATTCTTGGATAATTTTTCTGTGTTAATAATGAAAACATTAATAGGAGGAACATGTATAATACAGTATGCTTAACAGTATAAAGATAGAATTGTGAATGAATATTCAAATGAACATCTTCATAGAAAAGGCCATGTCACTCAAATATAATATAAATACACACTAATTTAACCTCTATAGTCTGTAGAATAACATTATTCATTTTGCTTAGAGCATACATGAACCAACACACAGATATGCATACCATTAACACAATACCAAAATGAGGCAGTAGCAATAAATGAATTCGATAAGAACTTAACATTAGAGTAGAAAATTGGGAGACCAAGCTCCTCAAAAGCAAAGGTAGGGCCCTTTGTTAAGACTGAAAATGCAGGGGGTAAAAAAGATAACAAAGGAACTTTACAGATGCACAAAATAATGCAACCCACCAAAAAGTTCTCCAACTTACTCTTGTCTACCTCTTGCAGATCCTTCCCTCCCCTTTTATCCTTTCTACCAACCAGTTACCTTCTTTAGCCGTACCCCTTGCCATCTAGGCAAGGTTTTTACAACCATTTACAAGTCATATGAGGAATCAAAGATTTTAATGCATAATTTACAAAAAAAAATTACAATATCAATAAAATAACACAGGTCAAGAAAAAATCCTAAACAGGGATTTGCAAATGGGAAATTTCAATAATACTACAGTGCAATAATCTCTATATATATAATAAAAATGTCCAAATATGGACTACATGGCTCACCCTGATTATTGCTTTTTCCTGCTTCTGTATTTTTTTTTTGTTTTGCACTTCATTTATTTATTTTTATTTTTATAATATTATTACATTTTTTCTTTCTTTGCATTTGCAAGGGACTTATACCTAGTTACATTTTTACACTCAAACAGAGAATAATGTAATGTTGACTATTTCAAACCAAAATAATTAAAAGGGACAGAATTCAGTGGAGATAAGCATCACATCTTTGTATTTAATGACTAAACAAGACTAATAACAGTAAATAGACAAAGAAAGAATTTTCTTTTTTAAAGCGATCGAAATTAAAGCCTACACCACAATGTAGTCATACATACATCATAAATAACCTTCGCAATAACATCTTTGTAGGGAAGTAATTCATCGTGTAGGTTTAAATGGGCAATTTGACCTGTATAAGTAAGACACATGTTAGTTTACCATCAGTGGCAAACCAAACAAATTGAATTGTTAATGAAATTGAAAATCTCACTACTCCTCTCTGAAGGAATCAATATTAAAGAATTAATAAAGCATGCGTATTAAGTTAATAAAAAAAAAGTGAAATAGATTATAACAGATAAAAACAGTAAAAAAATTAGATATGGTATTTAGTATGACGCGAAAAGACAAAAATCATACAAAATAAACATAGCAATGTTAAACAGGATAGAGGCAAAAATCATGGGAGAGGTAATATGGTTAGAAACGTGTATGTTAATAGGAAACTGCTCTTTCGTATCAAATGCAGATTGTTTCCGCAACAAATAGTATTTCTGAAAAAAATATTAAAACCCATAAAGAGCAAAGAAAAATAATACAGGTCAGATACCACATTATCACTAACAAAATGATCATAAATCTAAATACTTAACTATTGTTTCAAAAGATGAAGGCACTTCCACTCCGGCTGGCAGTATTTGCTTCAACACATGATCTGCAAACACAATAATTTAGGACGGAGGAAAGCATAACTCGAGAAAAAAAATTGAATCATTAAAAAAAGAGTGCTTCTAACTGAACTGACACACTAATGTTGTAACGGACTACCAAGACAACTCGGAGTCATTACTCAGGCAAATAATAAAACAACAATAGGATCCACTACAAAATCAGACCGCAAAGAAGCAGTACAGCCGTAGAGGTGAATCAGCATTTTCCTTAAAAGAAAAATATTATCCGACAATTTAGCACGTAGTGATGGGTAAAGATCCAATAATTCAACAAATTCAAAAATGAAAAAAAATTCTTTGATAAGCATAGAATGTAAAATGTTTATCAGAGTTGTTACCATAGTCCATGAGACATTTTCGAGCAAGAAGCAACTATTCCATCAACACAGAGAAAATAAAAAATCAAAGTTAAAAGCCAGCCTCTGCAGTATGCATGAAGATAAAAATGCACTCACCAGCACTCCAGTAAGAATACCCTAGTGCCAACGAATAGGGCACAACTTCAATCGCACACAAGCCCTTCAGCTCTTCAAGCTTTTGCTTTGGAATATCAGATAAATCTACACCCCAATATTCAAACCAAGTCAAAGACAAGAACGTCACTGAAAGATATTCATAGAAGCAAAAAAGAGTTCATACCTTGGTTCTGAACTTTCTCGGAGAGTATAAGGTAACGGTTTTTCTCATTGGTTGGGTCATCGGTGATTGGTTTAACTCGGGGCTTGTCAAGCAAGTAACTACACATTCAATCAATGAAAACGAAAATTAGAATCAGAGAAGGTGAATCGCGCGCGTGGAAAAATGGAGAATGACAAGAGAGAGATACCCGTTGAGGATTCTCGTGGCGACCTTGCAAAATTGGCAAGGTATTCGAAGAGCCCAGAGTTTGAAGTGGACGTCGAACTTGCTCTCGTCCAACATTGAAACGAAAATTATGGACAAAAATGGTTTCGAGAAGAACCCTAAAACTCCGGGATCGGCGTTAAGCAACGGCAACTATCGCAATCGCAACCACCCCAACCGGGGATGTTTTTGTGAGGGTTTAACGCAGTGGCGGTTTTGAAGCACTGGCCCGTTTTCAAATATACGACCCGTTATCGGCTTCTAATGATCCATCTAAGGCCCATTTAGACTCACGTACCCTCGTCAATTGTTCTTATAATTATTCTCCATTTTAATCATATTTTATCTAATATTTCAAATTTAAGAGGAATTTTAAAATTCTCTTGAAGTCTAATAGCATAGCATATTTATTTAACAATTTTATATTTTTTATATTTAAGAGTTTCACATAGATAAGTCTAAAAATATAAATAATTATTAATTATGAAAGATAATTATTTTATATATAATTTATAGTATTAATTATTGATAAAAACATATACATTTATATTCTTGAATAAAAAAAATTTCAAACCAAAATTTATTTAAATATATTTTTATCATATAAATTTTTTTCTGTGTTATGTTCTTAATTTTTAATTTATTATTACTTAATTTTTTATGTTTATTTAATAAACTAAAAACTTATTATCTTATATTTTTCTGGTTTAATCCGTAATAAAAAATTATGAACATTGTCATGCAAGTAAAATAGAACGTAATAAAAATATCACGGAACACACGCATTCGGATAAAGATTTAAATTATGATTTGTCACTTAGTACGAAAACAATTGCTTGCATTAACTTAATTCTCGTCGGTATAGATATAATGGAATGCAACCATGCATAAATATGTTTTATATGATGATTATGATTTTTTCAATATTTAAAAAAATTAAAGATATTTATATATTATTTAATAACCACCATTGTTTACTTTATATATTTAATATAAACTAATGATAATAATTATTTCATATATAATTTGCAAGTACCATAAAATTATCTTAAAATAAATGTTATTAATCTGTCACTGCAAGTTTTCATATATATATTTTTTCATTCCCTCGTTTAGAAAATGTGGAAGATACCTTTTCTTAAATCTTACAGATTTCGAAATAAAACAAGTAGAGAAATTAAATATATTATATTAATGTTATTCTTTAATCGAATAAAATCAACAGGCAACTATTTAGGAAAACAATATGTTATTTCAAATGTTATTAATTGTCAATAGAAAAGTTAATTTGTAATAATTACTTTTTTATTCCCCTTTAATTGTGTTTTGATACATTACTACTGGGACAGTTTGTTTTTAAATCAAGTCTTAGTTGCAGATTGGTCCTTTAGTTTTACTTATGTGATTATGTCAGTTTTTCTATTTTTAAAATCATACAAGTTTAGTATTTCTGTTAAGTCCATTCTATTTAAAATTCCCAAATTATTTTAAATTATATTTATGTAAAGAATTTATGATAACATTATTACATACAATAATTTTATATATTTAAAAGTTTTTTTTAGATAATTGTTGGAAAAAAATGGAAAATTAAAGTTTGAAGATGAAAATTTTATATAGTTTTTATTTTGATCAAATTGCAATGATTAGACTGTTGTGTTCAGTGAAAAATAAGTTTTTAAATATTTTAACTGATTATAATTTAATCACAGATATCTCAAACTAAAAGAACTAAAAATGTAAATAAGTCTAAACCAAAAGAGTGCTATATAATACAGAAAAACGCGAAATAAAAATTTGACAAAACAGGTGCCGTTATTTAATGAGTTAGATAAATAATAATTAAGTTATAAAAAAAAAAGAGAGATCCATTGAATTTTGCAAAATCTATGAATTATTTTTTGTTAAAAATATTTTAAAAAATCGCACTAACCTTCAATTCTGATCTAAATTTTATTTGGAAAATTTATTAATAATTATAAAAATATAAAATATTTTTTAACTTATTTTAATAAATTTATTAGTATGCTTTGTCGTTTTAAAGTTTAATCAAATTCATTTTAATATTAAATTTAAGATATAAACTGTTATTTTGAAATTAACTGATTAAATAAACACTTACATAATTAGTTATCCAAACGTATTTATAATACTCTCGTAGGCAAGTTATTTTTACAAAAATAAATGACTTTATTTAAATACTTAATAATAAACAATTTTTTTTTTTGGTGAAATAATAATAAAAATGTTTAGAGTTTAAGGTAAGTTAAAATAATAAAAAATAATAATTATGTTAAATTCTCAAATATAATATTTAAGTTACTACTAAACTAATAAAAGATATGAACGTGTTTAAATTTGTTTCAAAAATAATTATTTTCAATTATTTTACTTGTAGTAAATATATTTTAAATAAACAAAACAAAACATGGGTATTTACGGTTTAGTTTTCAATTTGAATTAAAATAAATTAATATTATAATAGCTATATTATTTCGTTTAGATCAATTTGTAATTGTCTTAATATACAATTTTTTTTTATCATTATATATATTTTTATTTTAAATTCAGATTTAAAAATAGTCCAACAAAAGAAGTTAGTTGAAAGAAATGTAAGAAAATATATAATAAAAAATTATAAAATTATCTATAAAAAGAGAAAATTGAACCAATGCGTGTTTGTTGAAAAAATATTAAAAAAAAAAAACACGAACAAGCACACAATTAAAAAGGAAAAAGTATAAAATTTGAGATTTTAATTATAAAAAAATTAAAAAAACATATTCTTATTTGAGAAAATTAAAAATATAGAGTAAATTGAAGTATTATACCTTATATTTGTGCAATATATGATAAACTTTTAAAAAATACATACAAATGTTATAAAAATATAAACATGTGGTGCAATTCTAATAATAAAAACTGAAAATAAACTAAGTGACAAAATAAGATGAAAATAATTTTTCAATTGTTTTAGTGATTTAAAAAATAGCTTAATTCGATTTTGAACACTTTTATAAATATATGCAACAAATATTTTTTAAATTTTTAATTGACTGTCTGTGTATTGTTTTGACTTTTAGGTGGTAATAATATTACTTTTTTTGATAAATACAGGAAAAAAATGAATAAAAACAATGTATCTAAATATGTAAGAATAATCTAAGAAGCAATTTTGTTTCTCGCCAACAAACTCCCAAAATTGGGAGAGAAGTCGGAGGAGAGAGTGGTTGCATGTATTGGAAGATTTTTCTTGTTTTTTATTTATTTTTAAATATTAATACATTATTAAAATATTTTATTAAGAAAAAATGTATAATATAATTTTTTTATATTAATTTCAAAAATTATAATAAAAAATATTATTATTATTTATTTAAACTTATTTTTTATTTTATTTTTTTATATTTTGTCATTTAAAAGAAATCTAATATATTTTTGACAAATTTTAAATAATATTTAAAATTATTATTTTTTAAATATTTATTACGGCACGCTTAAAACTGAAATAATATTTTTATTCTCTCTAAATTTAAGGGTGTAATTTTTTTAATATCTTAAAAATTAAAAAATATTTATATTTTTTAAATAAATCACTAATTTTATGTACTAGAGCATAAAATGCTTTTTATTTTAAAAGAATTTATATTTTTAAATATAAATATTAATTAATATATTAATTTAAATTTAATATATATATTTTAGTTTTTTAAATATATCTTAAAAAATAAACATTAATTTATTTTTTATTTAATTAATTTTTAAAATAAAATAAATAAAATAAATTTTTTATTTAGACTAAACATATCTTTCATTGAAATTAATCATGTTTAAGATAAAGTTTTTATAAAATAAATTTTATTTTAAGTATTTAATATAATTTTATTTATGTACATTCAAATTTAAAATTATTATTTATGCGTGGGTAATAAATAAAATTTGTTTATTTTCTCTGTTATATTAAAAAATAAATTGAAAAACCAGTGAAGAAAAAACCCTGCTTGTGGACCCAAAAAACGTGAAACAACGTGTCCGAGGGGGACCCACCTCTAAACCCAGGCAGCAGATTCAGCGTTTTTGGGGCCTTATATTGGTGTCTGTGCTTTCTCTTCTCGCACTGACCATTTACATTTCCGAAAATGAAAAAAGAAAAATAAAATATACAGTGTTGTTCCCTTTGTGCCCTAACCCACGACGCACTTCGCTGGTTTTGCACAGTGCGTCGTTGCTGATCCAAACCCGTAAGAAACTCTCTCTCTCTCTGTGTGCTCTCATTCCCATCGTTTTCTTTTACTTTCTCGTTTCTGTCCCTTTTCAAAGCCTTCTAAGTTACAGTTACCCCTCTCAGATCTCATTATCAACCCTATTCTTTTCACTAACCCCTCTTCTTCTCTCTCCTTCATTTACCAATTCGTTACAACCGCAAAAGGTACTTCATTCTTTCCCCTCTTTTTTATTTTCTGTGGTTCTTTCTTTTCCCTATTTGAATTAGAAAAAATAAAACACGTTCCTTATTTGTGTTTACGGAGTTAGGACATTGTCTTTGTTGTTGTGTAAATTCTGGTCACGCTGTCTGAGGAAATGTGCTAACTGCTAGGTTTTTGAGTCCACTGATGGGTACTGGAGCACTCGAAACGAATCGTTTAACGAATGGGGAAGCTGAGAACAGTCTTCACAAGCAAGCTGATCGGGCTTCTCCGCGCGAGGACTTGCTTTCTGATGGCAATGATGCAGTTTCAGACCCTGAGGAGCTATCGGAATCACACACTCTTCAGCTTGAAGCCAAGCCGCACCCTGATGCTGTATGTGTTTACTGGACCCTTTTTGACCTTTGTCAAATTCTTGCTTCTGTGTATCCTGTGTGGCTTCTAAAACGTGTTGTGTTTCGTGTGTGACTGTTGTGTTGTTTAGCCTGCGAAGAGGGCCAGGTTGCCGAAGGAATTGACGTTTCAGGACATGTATCAAAACCATGGAATGTTTGATGATGACGACGACGATGATGACAGTGACTGGGAGCCGTTTCAGATTCCCAAGTGTGTGGAAGTTGTCAAGTGGTTCTGCAAAAATTGTACCATGGTTAATGTAGACGAAGTTGACTGCTGCGAAGTATGTTTGTTATTTACCTTTCCGTTGTGTGCTAAGTGCTAACTGCTATCTTTCTTTAATTATGAGTTTTTACGGGGAGGTAATCTTAGTCTTTTATGGATAGTTAGAAATTGTGATATATGGGTCGGTATATGGTGATAAACTATTCATCCTATCACTGATATGACTCCCATTCTTTATTTTTTTTAGTGATTTAGTGCTATCCTCTATGCGCAGATATGCGGGGAGCATAAAGACTCTAAAATTCTCAATTATGGGTTTTTTGCATCTCCATTTGCCCAAGACGAGGATCTGACTGAGATCCAGGCAAATAATGTAAAAGGATTGAAAGGTATACTTGCATGTTTGGCTAATAATTCTATTATGGTTACTATTGAATCAGTATGGTTTTCTATAGTCTGTCTTGGTATGGTTACTATGGTATAATACACAAGATTGGTTTTGGGAAAGAATCTTGTCAAACTGTTGTTTCCAAGTTTGACAAATGGTTGCCTTTATGGTTGGTAATTATAAACTGTCACAGCCAAGGGTGTTTTATTATTATGATTAAAACTTCATCTACTGTCATTAAAATTTATCATCATTTTGTCTTTTTACTCGGAGTGGAGTGTGCTAATGTTGGATGGGAGCATAGGGTTAACACTTGAGAAATAAGGGGAGAAAAGAATGAACAAGGTTTATCTGTACACAACTGTTAAGAGGGTGGAGCTTGGTGTAATTTTCTCTTTAACTTGTGCGAAAGTTTGTACAAAGGGGGTGCCTATGTCAGAAAGGAATTTATACAGGCTGGGTAAGGGTGATCAGTGTGGTGTTTGAAACTAGAGGTGTTTTTTCCTATAAATTTCCAAATACCAGACAAGGTCTGTATAATTTACACATATTTTTCCAAGTCTTTTGCAAATCCTTATATTCTGATTCTTACTGTAGATATTATCATTCTTATATGTTTATGTGTTTTCTTGCTCTAATGTGATACAAAACCCCAAATTTATTTCAGTTTTATCCTTATCTTTGTAGATGTTGGCTCACAGGAATCAGTGGCAGATAGTTCTACTGCAATTGGTTTTGACGAGAGAATGTTGTTACATGCAGAAGTATAGTCCTGTTTGTCCTTGTAATTTCTTTTTTCTCACCCCATTTTGAAATTAATAATATATCAAACCAGATCTTTTTCTTTACGATGATAAAACTCCATATTTGAAGTGTTTTGGTTGCCGCTAATTTCTTTCTTTTCTTTGATTATGTGCAGTATTATCTGTGCTTTTCTTAAACACTCTCAACTCTTTTCTGATGTAGTTAATAACTTTAAGCTTTTACATGTTTCAAGATTATACTATTGCCATAAAATGTGACCATTCTGATTTGTTTCCAAAACTAATTCTATTTCCTATTCAATTGTTGTGATATCTCATTGTTAGTTAGTATGTATCTTGGAACCTTTTAGAAAGCATTGATACCATATCAGGATTTACACTATCATTGTGTTGTATATATTGATGTTTATTTTGATATTAAGTTAAACAAATAGGTGTCTTAGGCATGTATCAAAATCAGTTTTTTACACCAGTGAATAACTTATTATAGGATAGTGTTTTACCAAATCAACTTTTGAATTGAAACTGAAAAGGGAACCTTGGCCCAACAGTTGATGTTTGTTGCCATGACATGTGAAGGCAACATATTTGAGTCATGGAATTCTCTTGCCTATGCATGATAAAAAGTCATAGCTCCCAAGTAAAAGATTCCCCAAAACACTGCTCTTTCTTAAGGTAATATGATTTTCTTTTTAAAGTTTCACTGTAGTGCTGCTATAGCGGTGCTACAGTCACTCCCTATTCATATTTTGTAGCAACCTGTGGCCACTCTGCTCTGTAACGCTGCTATAGCCTGCTATTAATAACTATGTTTGAATGCGTCTTTTTGCTGGGAATTGCGTGGCTGTTAATTTATTGTTATCTTTTCTGGTGGTGTATGTGTTAGAGTAGGTTGAAAAGAAATTGCACCCACACCCTGAAAGGCCAGATCGTCTTCGAGCCATTGCTGCTAGTCTTGCTAGAGCTGGTATCCATCAGTTGCAAATATTTGTTACCACTGATTTCCTTTCAATTTATGTTTGATAGTATTGTTATTCATGCAGGAATATTTCCTGGAAGATGCTATTCAATTCCTGCTAGAGAAATCACACTTGAAGAACTTTTTATGGTAATTAATTTTCACTATATCTTGGATGAACATGTGGTATGGAGTATGGACATTACACATTTCCAATGCCTATGGTATTGCTTTATTAATGAAGAATATGTGAGATACATAGGGCCATGAAGGTGCAAACAAATGCAGTTCAATTACTGGACATACTTGTTAATGATGTATTCTGGGTATTGTTGTGGGAGGGTGTATTAATGTCAAAACTGACTTTTGTATTCAAGTATGATATACATTGTCAATGGACATTTCTCGGACGGATCAAAACCTGCCCCATTTTTTATGACATAAATAATCACTTTTTCGAGTATTAGTACTCCATCAGTTCCAGTTTGCAAATAGCTTCAGAATAAATTGTTGTTGGTTGTCTTTTTAGATTGTGCTGATATTTGATTTCTGCCCCCTTACCCTCTCCCTTTATCTAATTGTAAATCTATTGACTCTGGGATCCTTAACCCTATTTAATCCTTTAAAATATTGGAATTGAAGGTTCATTCTTCTGAGCATATTGAATCTGTGGAAATTACAAGCGAATCAATGTCTAGGTATGTTAATCTCTCTCTCTATCAAATACATATTTTGTTTTTTCATCCATTTTCCTCTTGTAATTGATATTCTTTAATGGTTTTGTTGATATCATCTCTTAGGGTTGATGTTAAGAAAATAAAGTGGAAAGGTTTTATTGGGGAAAAAAATTATACAAAAATTAATCATTTCCTTTCTTTTTCCAAGAACTGTATTTTTTAATACATCTTGTGCCGTGCTTGGTCCTCTTTGCTGATTTTTATGCCTAAGCAGAAATTTCCAGTCAATAGGTGTATTCTCTTATCATATACCATTTCCTGGATCCTAATCCTGTAATTGGATAGTAAATATTTTATTGGATTTCATATAATGCTTTAGTGTTAAGATGCTTAATGCTTTTTGCATTTTGTTGATAGGATATTTTCATTATGATTAATATCCCTAATCTCTGTCATTGCAGTTATTTCACTGCAGACACATATGCCAATGAGCATTCAGCATGTGCTGCTAGGTTGGCAGCTGGGTTATGTGCTGATCTGGCATCAGCAATTGTTTCTGGGCATGCCAAAAATGGATTTGCTTTGGTATGAATTGTCAAGTTGCCTATGATAATTGCTACATAACTAGCAATTTCAGTTTTGCTATCTACTAAGTTGCTTTTTGTTGCTCTTTAAATCAGGTTAGACCTCCTGGTCATCATGCTGGTATTAGACATGCGATGGGATTCTGCCTTCACAATAATGCTGCAGTGGCAGCATTGGCAGCTCAGGCTGCTGGGGCTAGGAAGGTTCTAATTTTAGATTGGGTAATGTCTTTACTCATAATATGTTTTAGAGAAATTATAGTATTTTTCATTAAAGGCAGTGTTGAATGGGGCAATTGCTATGTTATTCAAGTATTCTATGCGTTGATTGAGCTTCATGGTTGTTACAGGATGTCCATCATGGAAATGGGACACAGGAAATATTTGAGCAAAACAAATCGGTGAGTTGTTTTTAATTATATTTTGTTTGTTTTCATGCTCTCCTTGGTGTTTATATAAAATTTTAGCAATGTGCTCATCTTTCCCTGTTTTGTATGTTTTCCACATTAGTTTTTTTCTTTTAAAGTTTTACGGTGGCTTTATGAGCTATGCTACTAACTTTTTTCATGATTTTTCTGGTGCTAATGAGTTTCTTTTTTTTTTCCTTTTTGGTAGGTCTTGTATATATCATTGCATAGACATGAGGGAGGAAACTTTTATCCTGGTACAGGAGCTGCTGATGAGGTACTTGACTGCAGACAAATTTTCAAATTAAACTGCTGCTGCTGGCCAACTCAGCCAGGTGCTTTTTGGTCTGGTGTTAGTGGAAATATTATTTTTTATGGGGTAAAGAATTAAAAAAAGAAAAAACTAGAAGGGTTGAAGAAAAGATTTGCATCGAGTAATGTAACTTGGGTAATCTTTATGGCAAGTGGAATTGGGACTTTGAGTAAGTTCTACTTTTCTCCTGCAGATACAATTAGGTTTTGTGGATGGGAATTTGGTTTTATAGCGTTCAGCATGTTGTTCCCCTGTAATATTTTTGGGGGGAGGGGCAGGTTGATTGCTCATGAAATGCTTTAAAGCTTCATATGTTTTGTCCTGATGTCTTGTTTTCTCACTGAAACTTAGCAGTCTTTTGACTGTTGTATTTCTTGAATTATTGGACGAATGCTGGTTAATGTATTTGATTTCTGAGAGGTGGTCACAGGTTAATTTTGATCTTTTCAGGTTGGTAGTATGGGTGCAGAAGGATACTGTGTGAATATTCCATGGAGCCGAGGAGGAGTTGGTGACAATGACTACAATTTTGCATTTCAGCATGTTGTCCTTCCTATAGGTTAGCTTATGTTGTGGCCTATTGAAACTTAGCTAATTTGGTTCGTGGAAGATGGATTGATGAATAACTTCAGAACTTTCTTTTAGTAAGAAAAGAAACAAATGATGAAATAAATCGACTTTTAGTTTACCTTTTTTTATTACCTCAGTAAAGGTAATAATTAATGTACTGGAACCAATTTGCTACGCAATATATCAACATTTGGATTATTTGTCTAAAGGTGGTTATATGCTTTTTTGTTGTTTGATCTAATTTCCTGATGCACTGCCTGGAAAGATTTGTTTGGAAACTGGCAAGAATTCTAAAATTAATAGTGAGTGAAATAAATTTGTATAGAATGCCTTGGAATATTTGTTATAGTATGTTCTTCACATGACAGTCTATTCTCATCACCCCCTTGGGGTAGTATCTTCTAAAATATACATAATCTTGGCTTAAAATATTAATAATGAATGACTTGCCTTTTCAGCTTCTGAGTTTGCTCCAGATTTTACCATAATATCAGCTGGATTTGATGCTGCAAGAGGTGATCCCCTAGGATGTTGCGATGTAAGAATTTTATAATTCAGTCTTTATCATTTGTTAGTTTTTCAATTTTATGAATCACTTTATTGGACTAAAATCATTTGCAGGAATGTGCAATAAGTTACATAAAATCACCATATAAAGAACCTAATCTATCATGCTGTTTGATTTTCCTTTTTTAACAATATTCTGCATTATTTTTTACTGAGGGTTAAAAACATTCAATGTACTTCAATTAAAACAACCAAATTTGACAATAATAAATCAGCATTTTATGAGGTGTAAATTGAAACTTTCATCAATGATGCAGGTTACTCCCTCTGGCTATGCACAGATGACCCGCATGTTGAATGCTCTTTCTGGTGGAAAATTGCTTGTTATTCTTGAGGGGGGGTTTGTAGCTAATGCCTTTCATACTTCTTTATTCTATTGTGCTCTGTATTTTGCTTCAGGTCAATTTAAATACATTTTATTGCAGCTATAATCTTCGCTCTATATCATCTTCAGCAACTGCTGTTATCAAGGTGAATTGTTTTGCCCTACATTTTCTATGGTGATATCCCTGCCTGGGGTGTGCCTCCTCTTTCATTTCTTTTATTTTTCCCCCTTAAGGATAAAGGGTACATTTTATCTAATCATTTTAAATTTCTAATGTTTGCAATCTATTGCATGATTGTGACCTGTGAGAATGATATATCAGATCTTATTTCTCTTTAACATATTTTGGTTTCTGACTAGGGGGTTCTATTGGAACAGGTACTGCTGGGTGAAAATCCTGAATGTGATCCGGAGAATAGTTTTCCTTCCAGAGCTGGACTGCAAACTGTTCTGGAAGTCCTTAAAATTCAGATGAACTTTTGGCCTTCCTTGGGACCGATGTTTATGAATTTGCAGTCACAATGGAAAATGTACTGTTTAAGAAAAAAAAGTGAGGAATTGTCTTTGATTTGTATTTATTGAGTTTCACAGCCTTATTTCATTTTAATATAGTTTTGTTTTGATATATTTGGTCTAGTAGGGGAGAAAGGGTTGGATTACCTGTGGGGAGGGGGAAGTTTGCTGTCTCATTTCCTGTTCTACTAAAATACTGTGCACCACACTGGAAATAGAGATTAGAATCTAGTTAGAGAAGCTTCAATGGTAGATATCTGATTGTTGTTGTTATTCTGTAGGGAAACAGATTAAGAAGAGACGCCGACTTCTGGTGCCAATGTGGTGGCGGTGGGGACGAAAAAGTTTCTTATTCCATTTCCTGAACGACCATCTTAGTGTAAAATCAAAGTGATTTTGTTGAGCTGATAAATTTTGCAATACAGTGAATACCTAGTAATTGTCAGCATGTTGTATATTCCATCTTGATTCAGGACAGTGTGATTTTTGTTTGACCGTGCAAATTATAGATTTGTGCGGAATGGTGAGACAGAAATCGGTGACGGGGGTGGAGTTGGGGGGATTGCGGGTGTAAAACTAAAAGGGATGAAAATTTCCCATTTCCTTGTTTGAATATTTATAAATTTATCAGATAGGAAAATGATGTTAAAGAACTACTCGAATTAAAATGGCACAAACTTAAAAAGAGGTATGTGGTGTCTTGTCATCTGTTATTTTTATCGTTTACTTTGTTCCTATGGTCAAATCATTTGCTTTGTTCTAAATAAATAAATAAATAAATAATTCTAAACAGGTTTGTATGATATCCAATATTTCGGTATACTCTTGTACTTTGTTTTTGTGGCATTAACCGAAGTGTGAATTGAAAACAATATCTATTTCAATTCTGGTGAGTGCTATTCAGTTTCGTGTTTTTTTTTATATTGTTATTAATTTATGGTTTATGTTACTCAAATACATGCATCACAACAAAGATCATGCAGTCGTTGATAGTCTTGACCGTCCTGTTTTTTAAGGCATTGCTTTTAAATTTAATACCTAGACACTTTTCCATTATTGAATTTAGTTTTTCTTTTTAGGGTCCATGACTTGAGTAAAAATGTTTGCATGTCGATAGCAAGCTATATATTTTTAGGCAGTGAAATTGTAAAAGGAGGGCATAGTTACCCTAATTCTGGATCGGTAGGTCTCAGATTCATTGAGAACTTCGGATTTGCTGTTGACACAGCATGCTTTAATTACTAGTTTTTCATTCTTTGGCACTTAAGCAGCGAGTGACCAAGCGGTATGGATGCTTGATTGTGCCTGTTAGGTGGACATCCCAAGTTTTCAATCCAGGTTTACTTTTTGTATCCTTCTTATTTAATTCTACAACACTTTTTTTTATCTTCTGGAAATAAAATTCAGAAAGTGTTAATTACTTTTGAAAATTAATTTGTTATTGCATTTAATTGCCACATAGTGCAATTTACAAGATGTAGGGGACTGGTCCATCTTGCTCCTTAACAACTAATAGAACCATAATGTCTTGTAAGTATAGGTGAAAACATAACTGTTTCAGTTTAAATATAAGGCTTGAACACCAAATTTTCGATTTGAATTAGTCTAGAGCTTCTTTGATATTACTCATTCGTTTTTCTCTTTAGTTAAATTTGAGTTAGCATGGTTGCGTCAATTGTAAAACAACGATTTTAGTTAGGTTTGAAGAGTTATTTTTGTGATTCAAGTTAAAGTAACTCATTTTTTAACTTGGTGTGGTTTGCCATCTCCAATCTGAAGTGGGAATTTGCACTGCATCATGGGGAAGTTAATACAGCATCATCCGCTAAATGTCCATTAGATGAACTGAACTTTATTGACCTATATATGTGGATCTTGTCCGAAATAATTTGGAGGTTCCAGGATTCCTTGTCTGAGATGCAATGAGTGAGAAGATGGAGATGGAATAGAAGTAATGGCAAATGAAGACATGGATATAGCAGTAGACATAAAGCTATCAATCCTCCTTCTCCCCTCTCTAAATCTCACATTTTAAACTTGATCTAGCATAAATTCGAGTGCTTTAGAATGAAGGTCATGGCCATTATTATTTATTTTAAGTGAATCTTTACACATTAATTAAATGTGTTTCTATTGCTTTTTGTAGGAAATTATGGACTTGTTGTGGAGATTTGATATTACCATAATTATGGAGAAGAGTATCCAAAACTTTTTGCGCAATTTTGACAGTAACTTTTGCTGGTACTTCAGACCGAGTTAATTTTTGTTTTTGTAGAAAATTTTCTTTAGCTTCTTTATGAAGACTGACAAAATTAACTCAATATGAAGTCTTGTAAATATTATGACCAAAATAGTATAGAAAGGTTTGGAGGTATATTATAGTTTTGGCAAATTGATTTATTTGGTATAACACAAAAAACACATTTAATTTAGTTGGAATGCACATAAAATAAGTAATAAATTCCCCGGTCTTTATTGAAAGGAGTAAATCAAATTGTACACATATGCCTTCTTCAAAACTATGCAAATCCAATTACGCAAATATTATGATCAAAAGCTAGAATTGGTCATCTATCATACGTGAATCATCAAAAAATAGAAAAATGTATTATTAAATCAAAGAAAAAAATAAATGAAGGGTTAACGAGTGAGCTCCAACAATTGTTAGCAGTAAAAGAGAAAAAAGTGCAATAATAAAAAACAAGGGTAAGTTAAAGTTTTTTGTTTTTTTGTTGTAATTCTAATCCTTTTGTTGCCAACACCATTCAGATTCTCACAAAACTTTTGAAAATCAGGGAAACACTTGTGAAGATACACCAAAATACAGCAGAAAAAGAAGTATTACGTCCTAATGAAACGTCAAAATGAACCTCTTCTTTAGATAAAGAAAAAAATTCTATAAATTTGTGACATAAAAAATAAATATTAATTTATACGGCTTTGACCACCTCTAAGATATTACTTGCAATGTTCTTTTTGTCTATTGGGACTCCACATATGTAATGTGGTAATGTAACCCAACCAGCTTACAGGATTGACAAGCATTAACTTCCCTCGTATCTCGCATTGATAGTTGAAGTAATCATAAGTAAGATGATAAAAATGGATTTGGATTCTCAAAATATTGTCCACCTCTGTCACATTGTTGCCATGAAAATTTCTTTGCCAATTATTTTGACATATTGAGTTTTCAAAGGGAACATACCCTAAAATAATTGAATAGACAGATAAAATGAACATGGCACAGGGAGCATATCTCCACAATTAATACAGGCAACTCATTTCCTTGCGTTTCTACCAGTCCCATCTTCAAGGTCTCTATAAACTTCTATCGTTTTTCTCCTTTCTCTTTAAGTAAAAGTCATTCCAAAGACTTGTGATTAAGAGAATGTCCAAGAATATGTATATAAAGCGACAAAAACCTGTTAATTAGCATCTCTAGTACCCTGTGAAAGCACTTACGGAAAAAGAGGCATGACAAACTTAATAATAAAGAGAATTTCATTCATTACCTTCAATTCCGGTATTTAAATTCATATCTATCTTCATATACACCACGAGGCAATTCTTAACATTACATCCACAACCTAACAAGGAAAGGGGCAAGCAAAATCAACTAAAATATACTCTACACTATTACTACATATAAACCAAGCACCATTGGATTCGACAATTTCTTAGCGTAAACTAGAGTAGAATTTAACACAACCGATTTATGACTTTCCACATAAAAGGACTTTAATCCATACTAAAAAAAAAACCTAACTACAAATTGAAAAAAAGGGGGTTGTTATTGGTGCATTGTTGGAGGAGCCATTGGATAAGCAAGAGGGACAACATAAGGTGGATGAGGATGGGCATGAGGATGGGCATGAGGATGGGGGTGGGGTCCAGGAGGAAGCATGACAGGAGTTCCAACTGCTGATGCCATATGCCCTGGTGGAGCTGCCACAGGATGGCCAACTGGTGTTCCATACATGCCTAAACCAGCAGGTATATGAGGCTGAACTCTATGCTTCATTGATTGTCCTACAGCCATTGTACTTGAAGATATTGTGCTTGTATGTTGGCCTGTAATTGGTGCTTGATTACTTACCACATCTCCATTGTTGACACTAGTAATATCATGGATACTAGACCTCCTTCTGTCTCTATTCATAGAATTCAACCTTATGAAGTACTTCTGTGCATGGCTTGCCACTTGAGTGGGAGTCCTAGAAATCACAAAGTTCCTTGAAATGCTTCTCCAATCTCCTTTTCCAAACTTGTCTAGACCAAGTAAAAATAGCCTGAAAAGTAGCAAAAAGAAAAACTTGTTAATTACCCTTACTTGGAATCCCATATAAAATATAGTACGCCTAACTCATATGGCTAATGGAATTATATATGCATATAAATAGATGTATATGTGGAACTTTTACAGTAAGAGGAGTTACTTACTGTGAGAGTAAGTTATAGTAAATGTAAATGGAAAGTACCTGTGCTCCTCCTCAGTCCATGGAATTCCTTTTCTCCTTTCTTGTTCTGATGACCTTGACAAGCCTCCTTTACCAGTATGAGTGGTGGAGTCATGTCCTAACCCGGAAAAACCACTTCCATAATTACAATTTGATCTCTTATCTGAAGTTGAAGCCTTTGAAGAGCCATGAAAATCCTTATTTGAAGATGTGGTTTCTTCAGTAGCATAATTTGGGAATGATATGTGACCAGCCTCTATTGCACTTACATCCTCTACTAGTACCTGGTAATGTTGCTTCACTTCTTCTATGCTTTTGCTGGGAACAGCTGAAGCAATCTTCTCCCATTGGTCTTTTGAGGCTTCCTCAATCCAATGCAAAGCGATGGCATTCTCAAATGCTTTTTCTTCTTCATAGCTCCAAATGGTTCCACTAGATGACATGGTGACTCTTGGTTGGATTTGCAATTATGGTTCAAGTTTGGAGAATGAGAATGGTGAAATTGGGATATGGGTGTGTAAGTCATTTTTTTGTTGTGTGAATTTTGTCTCTATTGGACAAAGTAGCAGAAAGGGTGCGCAGGATAAGGAGAAGAATCACAATGTGTGTAGGATAAGAAGTAAAGGGGTATCAAACAATCAATTTCGAGAGGACCACACTCTGTAATTGAAGGGATGTGTGATTTGTCATGTTCATTCATATCATTTTTTTTCCTGTTTGCATATTTCTTTAGAAGAACTTTCTCTCTCACAGTTACACTGACCATATTGTTAGTATTTTCTTTCTTAACCGTGGAGACAAACATATTGGTTATCATAGTGCGTAAACGAGTTACCCTTAAAAATCTTACATCCTTTTTATGCTTTTGCTTGTTTAGGGGGGAAAAAGTCAAAAAAACCATCTAATAAGTGTGTGTTAGAATGTAATATTTTAATTATTTGAAAACAAAATAGCTTTGAAAAGGGTGTAAAATTTTCAAACTACCAACATAATTTCTGAATGAGTATATAGTAGGCCCAATAGAATTTTCTTTTCATACAACCAAAATCAAATGGAATCTCGACCATACCAATGAATAGACCAGTGGTGATGAAGACAAAACCATTAAGGTATGGGTTCTTTTTCCCTTCTTATTCAATGATTTATGTATAACCTGTGATTCTCCAACACAGCTAAAATTTTCTTGTCACTTTTTCCTGCTTAAATACCTCCTTGAATTAAATTAACAGTGACTGTATTAGTTTATCTGACACTGCTGAAAATAGTAAAGCAGTTGGAGACAGGAATACAAGTTTAAAGTTTTAACCTATAATCAGCCAATAAGAGTGTTAAAGAACTCATATGTATCTTAGATTATCATCAAGTTAAGAATTAGAAATTCTGGTTAAATTTACAAAAACAACTCATGACATTCTTATGAGTTCTTTTAAAGGTATTTTAATAGATTTATTGAATTAAACACACAATATAAACTCATATAATAATTTTTCATTAAATTAACATTTAATGAACTCATCCAATTAACATATTTACTTAAATTCTATTCAGAGATGAAAATTAAGTCAGATATTATGCTGCCCTAAACAAACTTCAAAAAATACATGACACATTCACATGCCCCTACTCACGATAGGATTATAGTATTTGTCTTATTAAAAAAGAAAGAAAACTAGAGACGTGGCTAATTCTCCACGTCTGCTATGCGATAATATGAACCACATTTCCAAGTTTCCCTTTTCGCAAAGAGGAACCTATTCATTTACATTATGAAAACTAGGAAGAATACTATCCACATCCACACACTAATGTTATTGTAAAGTGAAGGCAATGTTCACATCAAAAAATAGTATGTTCAACGCCAAGTTGTAGCTAGGGATAATACAATATAACATCAAGTTGCACCATAACAACGAAAACTTCTATAAGACTACTCTCTCTACCTTAGTTTTGGGACAAAGGGGAATGGATTCCATTGTAAAATTTCTAGATGACAAGGTCATTTATATTTATCTATCCAAAATCTTGTCTTTATTTTTCGTACAAATATTTTTATATCACTGAATTTATTTCTGAATTTACAATTTTATAGATTAACTTAACGAATTTACACATACAAAAAATCATAGCTTAATGTCATTGTTGAAATGATATCTTCAGATACGTCTAAAAGTAGTACAAATTTATCAGCAAACTATAGCAAAACATTTCCATGTGATTAAGACCTTGCGATGGCAACCATATAACTACTACTTCGCATTTACTAATGATATAAACTCTCTAATTGGGAAATCATAGAGCACAAAATTAGGACGGCCAAAGTATATCTAAGCCTAAAATAAATTTTGGGACGAAGCTTTTTAATTTTTTTGTACATTGTGAGTTTCAAAATTTTATATTATTAAACAATGATAATATATTGTGAATATAATTTTTATATTAATCATTATAAAAATATATTTTTGTGTATTAATATGACAATTTATAATCAGATAATAATATAAAAAAATAAAAGGTTACATCGATATAAGTCTAAAAATTCTTACATTCAATTTAAGCCTTTCATTTAACTTAAATTTAATAGGTTATAATTTATTATTTCATTGGCCGTTAGATTTAAGTTAAATGAAAGAATAAGATTAAGTGAAAGAATTTTTACTTACATTGGTGTAAGAAGATTCTTCTCCCAAAAAATATTATATTATAAGTACATATAAATTAAATTTTTTAATAAATTATTGATATTAATACAATATATCAAAGAAAAAAGTTATGATAGAATTAGAGGCCTTAAATATTTAAAAATTTAATATTATTTATTATATAATTATTATTAAAAAAAATCTGATCAATAGTTGTCAATTTTTTTCAGAAATTAAATAATTAAAAATTATGATATCAAATTCACTCAAACGTTAAAACATGATTTAACTTAACTTTAATGTTTGTACACGTACTCATTTGCCAGTTATTGTATGGAGATAACAACAAAAGTAGGTTCCACAGAGTTGCGTTTAGTTGCAGGGTATTTGAATTCTATTGCAGGTGATGACCCTAAAAGGGTAAAAGCATAAACTAAGTGCGATAAACTTCCCTAAAATATTTCATGTACCACTAAGCTTTTAGCTTTCTTTTTCAAGAACAAATAAATCTGTGTCCTAATCCATAGTCACGCCATATAATTACACCAGGATGTAGCAAATCGACCATTGAAGTGACAAGTAAATGCCATGGTTGACACATGTCGTTACCATAATGAAAAAAAATAATCTCTGTCATCTTTCACAGGGTTTCGAAGAGGTGTCTCAACCATTGAATGTTGGAAAAGAAAGCTTGTTTGGTGGTTTTCATTATATTGCGGACATATCTTTAAAAATAAAGTAATCATTTTAAAAATATTATGCAATCATTAAAAACAGAAAAAGTTTGCTCAAATTAATCAATGGATTATCCTTAATTTTATTTTACTAACAACCTTAACTAAAAGTGAAGTTTTTTATTAAAAATATTACTAATATATTTTTATGAATAATTTCTAATATATTTTTATGAATAATTTTTAGTATATTTTTATGAATAATTTTCAATACATTTTTAATGTATATTAAAAATTTATTATTAAATTTTTGAACTAGTGTCCTTAAAATACTAATTAAAATAACCCTTTTTATTAAATATGGCCAGTCTTTTCAGGGTAAATTAGCCTCAAACACAAGTCCTTTGCTTCATTTATAATTCACTACTTTGTATAGTAAAAGGTGTTTAACATACTGCGTTCCCTCACTTTTGCTGGTCTCAAAAACTATCTAGGAATGGTATTGTTAATCACACATCAATTCTGCATATTACACTTGCCACTGTATCTTGTATCAATACTTGTAAGTTAATAAAATTATGTATGTTGCAAAATGACCTGCAAATAGCCGTGTGAAACTGTCATGAGGATTAAATGACCGTCTAGTTCAAAGTAAATGAATCTTTTTGGAGAGACAATCCATTGCACAAATTGAGAAATTTGGAATAGTAGAAAACATGGAATAGAGACCATTACCAAAAGCTAAAACAAAGTGTATTAATAATTTACAGCTTGGTCCTTCATAATAGAGACAATATGAAGCCATAGTTACCATTGAGAAAGGCACATTAACAACCTGGCAAGTTTACAAAAAATCAAATTTCCATGTATGTATGTATCTCAAGAGACAAGTCATTCCATGTCTACTTCTTGATGAGGATTAATCATCAACACACAGCTGTTTATTTGAAGAAAAATATGCAATCAGCAAATCTTTCTATTGAAATGAATTGCATGACATACAAAGGAAAATGGTTTGTCTGCAAAAATGAGTCTTAACCCATGACTTGTCACAAATCAAAGAACTACGCTCAATCAGATGGAGGCAAAGGAAGGGTGTCCCCTTCAGCACCATACGAAGATCACATATAACCAAGATCACCTATTTCATGCTTTTACCATTAAAGGGGTGATGTAGAAGACAAGTCCCTGGCTAGTATACGTGGATGTCCTGGATGTTTTGTCAATTCTTCGCTACCTTGCAGAAGGGATGCCCTTTGTGGATTTGAAAGCATGAGTTGTTGCATGTCTTTTGAAAGCGCATTGAAAACTGCCTGAAGATCTCCTGTTAGTTTCTGACGCATTGCTGTAGAATTGACGCCACCATTTCCAGGTTGCTGCAGCTGATAATTGCATTTGACAGAGATTTAAAAGCACTGTGTATGTTTCATTTACAGCTAAAACAATACTATGTTTTAGTCAGCACAGTATGTAACGAATAATGATGATGTGAACTATGCTTGAGCCTAACTAATGGTACGCCTAATTTATTAAAATACAAAAAATAAGTTTCCTTATAGATAACATGGTGAAAATTTTCATCCCAAAGCATTTCCCCATTACCCAAAAGGCTCATGGTATCTGACATACTGTCTATTCGTTTAGGCAAAACTGAATGATTCACAAAAGCAAGCACTCTCCTGGATGAATAGTCGAAGATAAATAGGGCATATTTAGTTATCTTATATACTTTTGTGTTGAGTATCAGTCTTGCTATATTCAATTTGATCATTTGCCTTGTTGGATCCAAAACTACATTTTGTTAGGGTAAAAAAAGGGGGTTCGAGTCCAAAGAAAAAACCTGTGACATTACGTTAGATACTTAGTCATTCACAAATGCAACTGGTAAAAATTAATTAATCAAAAAATGTAGACACATCAGCTTATTTATGCGGGGCAAATACCAAAAGAAAGGCACAATCAATTAAAAGCATAACGGGAGGACCCTAGGAGGGTAGGTTAACTGTACTTCTCTAAGTAGAAGTCTCTCTATAACATTGAAGGAATCCACAATTTCCAACTCAGACATTTTAGACATAAGCCATCGAATATCAGTTTTTATTCTTGCATGCCTCCACAATCTTTCTTGTTTCTGTTCAGCTACAGCACGCCTCCTCTGAAACCAAGGCATGAAGTTGGGTCCATTCAGGAACCGCCTGATAAGAACATTCAAGTGACTTATGAAGAATATAAATCAAATAATGAAGTCCTAAAACTTTAGTGCAAGGTCTCACCATAAAAGACTATCATACAGAGAGGTAAGTGGCAAATGGTAGTACATGACAAACATTGCAAACAAAATTCATTACCTGTAGAAGTCAAGCCAATTAGACTTCATTCGCTTCAAAATGAACTTCCCAGGACCTCTGGCTGATAAACTTGCAAGAAATTCATCAGCATTAAATGGAGGTAAAGAAGGAGGATCTACATAGGGAGAAGATCCTTCCGATGGTGTTGTAGTCCTAAAATATGGACCAAATGGAGCCAAAAAATTAGTTGTTAGCTCTAAAAAATGCCGCCGTAATATCTCATTGTTGACAACTGACATTGACTCCTCAACTATTGGTGACACTCCGGCATCTAAAAGCCTATTTAAAATAGAGGTGTCAGGCTTAGTTGTGGCAGAATATGTAGTCCAAATGGCTTCCCTATGTTCTGTCATCAGACAAAGAGGGCCATCTCTCCGTAGCTTAATTGCACTCCATAAACTTGAAGGAGAAAATTTCTGTAGGGAAAGTTGTTGAAGCCCAAGACCTTCAGGTCTACTAGAAACTCTACCAGTAGAAGACCTGGTCGAAAGGGAAACCTTGTTTGAACTAGGAGGGGGGCTTCCAACTGAGACAATGTGAGGGATGTTACGTAGAGCCTTAAGGAAGAAAAGATTTGTCACCCCTAAAACCATTGGAGGGAAGGTTTCCCCTTCCCGAATTGAGTTCAAATGTGCAAACTCAGGATCATGGATAGTAAAATAAGGCCGAAAGTCAACACTGCAAAGTAATGGTGCAACCAAACTCACAAGGCTGGCAACAGCCTCACAACACTGGGGAGGGGTGGGTGCAATGATAAGAATGGGTTCACCAATGAGTAACAACTCCCATAACAACCAAAGCTGCAATAAAAGTCCACGGAAGGTGCCAAAAAGATCTGAATCATGAAAAAGGCCCTGCGGGATAAACTGATTATTAGGAAGAAAAGGAGCCACAGGAGAAGCAGATTCATCAAAAGATATTCCGTTTTCCATGAGCAAGCTGTGCGCAGGTGGCAAGTTCACCTTAAGTATTGCATTCCCAATAGGAAGATCCATTACCTTACCAGGAACAGGAGCGGGCCATGTTGAAACATAAGCAGCAATATGCTCCAGTGCTATCTTACCAATGTCAAAATATAAGGGACCTGCAATTTGTAATAAAGGTCTGAACACACTAGAATAAGGACTGTGGGACAACATGACCACAGACTTCTGTTCCCCTCCACGCTTTAGCCTCTCATCATGTCTTTGTCTATTAAAGACAAAGCCATACATGTATTTAGAAACATTATCACTTCTTGTACTGGATAATATTTTACTCACATTGTTTTTGTCTATGGACTTTGGAGAAAACTTCTGGTCAACTTCATTTATCTCAGAATGAGTGGCATTGCTGGTTTGAGATTTAAGGTGCCTACGAAATCGGAAAAAGAAGATACAATCATGAATGCTAGAGCGGTTTTGTTGACGGGAAACAGAATCTGGAAATGAACTATAAGCAATTTCAAGCTCCTCTTCATGTGTAAGACAGCCTGGTGGATAACACACTTCTACAAGCTGCCCTTGTTCGAGATCAAACCTTATAGCACAAATGGCAACAATCCATCTCTGTAAAGACTCCGGATCAAGACTGGGACTTACTTCTGTTTCAACTTTAAAGGAAGGAGACCGACTCATATCTGAGAAAAACACTAATAATATAAACTTTCATTGATCAAAATGCCATCAACAACACCTCTGGCAAGTGGCAACTATTTCCTGCTAAAAAACCTGCAGCATCTTCATTGATCAAAGAAGTTCAATTCAACTTTCATGCATGAAATATTCCTTTTTCTTCTCTCTTCCACATTACAGAAAACTCAGAAACCTAACAAAGAAACACAAAAAAACACAGCGCATTAATTTGCTAATATGATTCTATTTTGGGAAGAATTAACAACAAACTAATATGAGGTGTACTACAATGAATAGCAGAAACTCAGAAAGAAAGATAGCAATTAGCAACTAGACTTGCAAGCCTTTCTCTGGAACAGTATTAAGAAAGGAAGTTCAGATCAGTTCAAACATCAGTGCTTAACTACTAGTCTTACTTTGGTTAAGAACCAAACAAAATTTCAGAACAAAAGCTTATGCAAGATCCCGAATTTCAAACAGTTCCCTTAATGCATTTTCTCAGCAACCAAATCTAGGAACTAAAATAACGGTGTGTAAGTTACAATTTCAACTTCAACAAGATATATCAAATGGGTACCTGAACATAGGAGTATGGAACCCAGACACAGTTCCTGGCACGAACCCATATGGATCGGCAACAGCAGAAAACCAAAGTGACTGAAAACAGTGTAATCTTCCAGAAAATTAAACAAAGTTAGGAGCTTTAGGCCTTGGTCCCAATAACTGTGGCTCCAAATCCAACAACTTTCTGTGCACAGTGTAATAGGTATCCGAATCTATGAACTATAAACAGAGACAAATGAGTTACATTACAGAAAGGAGATATTGTTAAGTAACAAATTTTCAATTCTTATTTGGGAAAGGAAACGAGTAAATAGTTCGAAATATCAACAAATTGTGTACATATTTGAAAGTACTGCATTCTGCAGTAGGTACCTTCTTGTCTAATTATCTGATTTTAACATTAAACTATGAACGTCCTATATAGATTGTCCTTATATCTTTTATAAAATTCATATTAAATTATTTCTTACATTAGTTAATTTTTCTTAAAATATCTTTAATAAATATAAATTAATTAAATAAATAAAAATAAAATAATATTATATTTTTAATAATTTTAAGGATACTTGTTAAAATAATATAAATTACTGGTAAATTCAATGTCATTAACAAAATTAATTATTTTATAATTTTTGTCAAATAATTAAAAGGATATGTAGAATTATAAACAATAATTTTATTAACATCAACAGATTTTCAGCAAATATAGATGGAAGATTTTTGTGAGCAAAAAGTATTTATTATATTAAAAATAAAAAAAAAATATTTTTTTGTGTTTATAATTAATTTTAAGGATTAAAGTTTATAAAATCATAAATTATATTATTTTGTGTAGTTGAGAGATTTGTCATAGAAATATTTAATAAAACGAACTATTAGGGATATAAAAAATCATATGAGTTTAATTTTAGGGTTGTTAGGATATAAATTTTTATATTGTTGAGTAAATTTTTATTCAGTTTTTTCTTAATATTTCACTATCTAATATTTAAATAGTTAACATTTAAAAATTTTACATTGAAAATAAATTAAAATTAAACTTGTACTTAAATTATATTGTTATATTTACTAATTTTAAAAATTATACTTATTTTTTAAAAGAAATAAATGTGTCATATATCATATTTACTTAAGTTTAATATAAATATATCCAAATCAATTTCTTCTTTAAGAAATAATTATGATCAAATTTTATCATTTCATAATATTTTATTCATTTTGGGGGTGTATAGTGTAATTTTTTTGCTACATTAAAAAATATCAATATTATTGAAAATTAATTATGAGCTCTAAATAATTAATTTTAAAAATTGAAAAAATAAATTCAGTTTTTAAATATTCTTATTGTTAGATTGACTTCATTGAAATTTAATTCTCACAATTTAGTTTATATATAACTTTAGTCTTCTTAATTTTAGTTGTTTGTATTTAATCTCTTTAGTTTTTATTGTTCAATTAAGTTTTTTATTCCAAAATTTCATCCAATAATTAATAAAAATATAACAACCATGTAATATATAATCATTTTATACAAAATTACAAAGAAAAATTAACGACTTTTTTTTTAATTTATATAAATCAATAAAATGTCACATCTTTACTTTTTTTTATTAATTATTAAATAAAATTTTAGACTGAAAATTTAACTTGAAGAATTAAGAGGACTAAATATAATCAATTAAAATTAAAAAGACAAAATTCACATATAAATTTAAGTCTTAAAAACAAAATTACAGATTTAAAAAAAATATATCTTTTCTTCTGAAGTTATAAAGCTAACAATATAAGTACAAAACTAATCATTGAGAGAGAGAGAGAGAGAGAGAGTAGTTTGTGAATTTTAAAGTAAAAATCAACTCGGTTTCATTTTAAAACTAGAAAAAATCTAATTAGCTCAAAAGAAATATTAAAAAACAAATTATATGTAATTCAAACAATAAAAACCAAAAATACAATTTGTTTTATATCTTTCAAACATTTTCAAATATCCATTTCTCCCAAAAAATAATTGATAAAAGTAATTAAAATCTTTATCCCCTTACTTTAGTCTATGTATAATTCTAATCTTTTTAAATTTTATTTATTCAAGATATAAAATATTTCACATCAAATCTCAGTTAACAAATAACAGGAATGTAATATTATTGATATATATATTTTAAAGCAAAAACCTTAGATTGAACAATTAAAAACTAAAGACCAATTGTAAGAAATTAAATTAAACTGACTAAAATTGCGCATAAAAAATATAAAAATTAAAAGTGCAATTAAGCAAAGGAAGAAAAAGGAAAAAAAATTGATGGCTAGCTTTTACACGCTCGATTGACCAAGGAAATGAAGAGAGTATAGAATTCAACACTAATCGCACTCATCATTGGAGCCTGTAAAAAGCTAGTATTTATATACAAATTACACAAGGAAGTAAAAGCAAAGCAAAACAGATAAAATTCAAAATCCAGAGTATCATGTGGATGCTCTATTCTTCCTATCTTTTGATGTGTATTGGAATTGGGCAGTCAACAAGATGCTTTTAAATTAATGTCAATGCCAAAACTGTACTAGGTACTCACTCTGTTAACATTTTCTCACATTTTCTTGTCCCTTTTTTCTATGGTCTTAAAAAAGTTGGCCAAGTTAACACCTAAACATCAAACACAGGCAAGCGCTCAGCAATAGAGTCCCGGCAAATGGGGCACCTCTTACACTTCTCTGAGCATATGCTGCAGTTCATGAAAATCAAGCATTAGGCCAAACTATTTTGAAAAGGAAAAATAAAAGCACAAGGCCAAACTATGAATGTAATGCATGAAGTTGTCTCATTGAACATCATTTATTTCACATTACCTGCAAAGGACACGATGCCTGCATGGGAGCAATACAACGTTAATCTCTTCCTCAAAACAAATTCTGCATAATACTTTCTCCTGATACAAGATAAAAAAATTAAATTTTGGCCAAATGAAGCTTGATAATGAATCCAAATTAAGCAATGATGCAATATTCAGAAACTTCACTTTAATTGGGCGAATGAGTTACAACCCATACCATTGATGATTGTTGTCACAATACGAAAATAATGTGCAAGCCCAGCTATCATTTTAGCGTGACTAACATTACTGCATAGCTGCTCTACTTTTATAATACAGCAAAGACAGTATATTGAATATTATGATCACAACCTATTATATTTCCACTATAGTCATTACACTAACAGACTGTGATTTGCAACATCAAAACAGAAGCATGTGATGTATAAAACAAGACTTGGTTTTGGTGACTGATCATTAAAATTTACTCCAAAAGACTTCAAACATAAAGAATATTCTAACCGAATGATTCCCCATTGACCATGCAAATTGCATATTACATAGACCCTTGCCATTATGGATGACTTCTTAACACATCATATATAAGAAACTTTGAAAAATACACAGCGCAAGCACATGAATAAATATAGTACACATAAAAGTTAGAAGTTTTACATTTTGAAGTCTTTCATACTCCTGTTGGCTGTATTTTGTAATTTCAGTTTGTTCACCAAGAGCGGCCTGGAGTCTCCAAACCTGACATTAGAAATTTTTGAGCATGCTAATGAAGGAAATCAGAGTTATTGACTTACTGAAAAATTTTGTTGCTGATATTGAACAGATGAATGTAAGGAAATAAAACCTATGCAGATTTTTCATCCATACGACACAAGGCAATATCTATCTACATGCCTATAGATGAATATACACCCACATAAATTGTGTATATATAACAACTGTCATCACCTCCTCAGCAAGATCCTTTTTAGGCATTTTCTTAACAATGTCAGGAGGATAACCACAGAACGTATTATACCTGTGGAGTGGGAAGACAAGTGTAAAAAGATCATTAGAAGCAACTACTAGGTGAATATATAACAATAAAGTTGAAAATATCTTCATGCATCTCGTATCATAAGAAGGGGCAAAAAGGATATCTTCATATAGTACTTGTATTTGTCATAGTCAAACAAGTTCTAGTTTCAAACATAAAAATGAAAGGAAACCTACTATTTGGTCCTAAAGATAAAACATCTGCACAATTTGCTTCCCCAATGTTAAATTGTGTCATTTGAATACTTAATCTTTTCAATTCATCTCAATTTGGTCCTTCCATAAGCGTTCCACACATCCTAAATATGTATGGCAGGACTTAAAAAAGATGAAATAAAACAAAATGAATATCTTTAATGGATCAAATTGGAAGATGTGTCTTTTGCAGACCAAAATGATACATTCCTGAAAATTAAACATTCACAAGCAAGCAAGATGAATTGACTAGCCACATTGCAGGTGATATGGATGAGGAACATATCAGTTACATTCTATGACAATGCACACCATGTTGTAATAAAATGAAATAATGCTTACCCAGATGCTCCCTCATGGTACAACCGTGCCTGTTCTTCTCGACTTCCTTCGTCAATTGACCACCAACCTAATAATCTGATTCCACGAATTGTCAGATATAGTTGCAGCACAATACATGCATATGGTAATTCAACAAGATCAACAATCTGAACTTTTCCCTAATAATAATAGCAATAAAAGAACATTCATTACCTAGAACCATGGCGCAAGAATCCCAAGCAATCATGAGCTCTTGAAGAAAATCTAAAATATATTCCTCCACCAGCTCCACTTCGTACCAGAAGCACAAGTTTCTCAACTAATTTAGATGCAGATAACAGTATACCAGCTCCATGCAGTAGGAAAATGGGAGAGAAAAGAACTGGAAGAGGTATATATACAGCACAAGCAGGTGTACCCTGAAATGCACGACAGCTCAGATCTCCAAAAACAATATTCCAAAGGCTGGCCAACCACACAATTCAGTATCACATACCTCTAGATGCATAACAAGCAGAACCTGGAATACGATAATTGGGACTTTCATGAAATGACCTCCTATGTCTTGCAGGCTACACATTCTCCCCTGACGTTGATTTTCCTCTGAAGAAACCACCAAACCACTGTTCCAGTCAAGATATCTAATCGTAGTTGAAGATGAACTACTGGCTTCTCTTGAAGTTCTATGAATGACTGGATTGGACCACTTTGTACATACAAGGAAAGCAAAGCACTCGGCAATACTGCAGAACAATAGGTCATAAAAGCCTTATATTAAAATTTCAAACATTCAAACAAAGACAGGTAATTTTCAAAATACTTTTTTTTAGCACTTAAGACAAAGGAACGTACACGAAGTTAATAAATAAGTCCCACCAGCCCAGAGCACCTACATCACCTGTATTAGACAAGAAAAAAAAAGCCATAATCTCATGCATATAAAAGCAAGAATAAAAAAAATGTATTAGTTGTCACTTAGTCGTTATCCAAAGTTCCAAAAGGGTCAAATTTCGTGCATGACATGGACTCCATATTTGCATTTTTAAATAAAAAAAAGTTGTCTTGATACTGTAGAAACATCCAGTCCAGTGCATGACATGGACTCCATATTTCCATAAATTAAAATTGAAAATAAAATGTATTCATGACAAATAATAATTTATAAGGTATATTTCAATATTCTGTGCAAAATATAGATAAATCATGAGGAATTGACCATTTTAGAACACACTGTTTGTGGCTTTGTGCCACTCAACATCTAATAACATGGGGGGGTAAATAAACTAGACACTGCTTCAATGCTGAGTAATCACACCTACTTCACTCCAGCTCACTAAATGGGCACTTCATTTGAAAGAAACCACATTTTTTCATGAACCATAGTCAAGGAAAAATGAAATTTGGAATTTATTCATTCTCTTTTTTTCTTTTCCTTATCTCACCTTTTCAACAGCAATATAAGACAATATTCCAAAAGAATCATAAGATCACAACTATGTACCATGAGATTAAAAAATAATAACAGAATTTATAAAGAATAAATGAGAAAAAAAAATCAACCTTTAGAAGAAAAAGCGTTACCGCTCAGTTTGAGGAGTGTGAAGACTGTAGCAGCAATGAAGAACACCATAGAAATTGCAACCCAAAAGTGCTACAAACAACAAAATAAAAAACACTTTTAGTGTAATCAAGCTTTAGCAATTTGAAGTTATAATAGTTCAATACAAAAGGAGGCAACTCAAGATTATACTGGAAAAAACATTACAAAAATCACAAAATTTTGAATAGACTCAAGCACCAATTGCAATCAGAATATTTCCTAGTACAAGTATTCCTTATTTGATGCAAGTCACAATCAGAGAATATTGCACATTGAATTTGGCATGACAAAGATATCCTTAAATGTAAACTAAAACATAGCAAAGCCCTTTTGTTGAACAACTTTATAATACCGAAAGTACGATACCCGCAACAATTTATAACACTAAACTTCAAATATAATTTTTTTTTTAAAAAAGGCAATAGCAAATTCTCCACAGCACAATAAAATATCATGTACTAATTTAGAAGAAAAGCAATAGGGGTTAATTGGAGAAGGAATTGACACTAAATTCACCATAAGTTCACTCTTCTGACAATAATTTGAAAAGCCCCAACCACAGCTCTTTCACGTTGTTTCCTGAGTCCTGATGCAATTTTACTGTAATATCTATGCTTAGAATAGAAATTCTCTAGAGTCTAGCCATTTTCCCCATACAAATTAAATCATTACATTATCAAAGATGAAAGTGTTGTAGACTTTAGCACCACAAACTAACATTCCTTTGATTTTCTTGTACGTTTTTATTAGTTATATTATTAAAGAACACAACAAAGACTGAAAAATAAACTGATATTTAGGAAAAGGAAAATTTGCACCCTATGTCTGTCACTTCTACAAAGTATTGATATAAATCCTTACAGGAAGAGTTTCCCATATTGCCTCATCACTCATGTTTTCTTCATCGCCTGGCATTAGAGCCCTACACATCCTGCACATAAAACATAGTTGGTTACAAATGACATAAATAATTGATGAGTATGAACCCAAACCAACGATTTATGCCAAAGGGTCCACATTCATCTCTATGAAACAAAGCATACCATAACAAACCCAATTATGCACATCAATTATTAAGATTTGAGAAAAAGCAGGGAAATAGAGAAAGAAAAAGATGATAAAGAGATTCACTGAAGTATCTAGTCTAGCAGGTGTATAGAATTCAAAAAATTACTCATGTAACCATTGATTTGCCTAACATAAGAGAGAAACAAACAAAAAATATAAGGTTTATGGAAGCTATCATAAAATATGTTACCTGAAATTGTCAATGAGAATAATGATTTCAAATGTTAGTAAGGGAAGAAAGACAATCTTTAGATCTACTGCTGCAGAGCCACGAACTGTGCAGGAACAAATGCATTAGTATAATTGGAGATCTTGCACCAATGTCATTATTACAGAAATTTAAGTCTTCTATTGCGACAACAGTCTTTCATTTACAGACACAAGGATATTGCAAAATGCTCACAATTCTATATTAGGAATTTGTGAGCATTGAACAAACTACTTAATATTTCTTTAGAAATACTCCCTGCACAGATAACTGAATACATATTGAAAGCATAAAAATAATTGGAAATTCCTAGTTATGTAAAGATGAAAGCATACCATCTAAACTCTCAAGATATATACAAAGGAGCAATTCAAATGCAATAAGCAATGGCATTGCAACGACGGCATGGCATGGTGCCCACTGTAACAACATAGAAATTCAGTACTGTATTAACTCATCATAACATTGTCAGGGGAAAAAACACTATAATATTAATTTATAAAAGAAGGAGAAAACAAGGAGCCAATAACCTTGTTTTGTGTTTTTATCCATGATAGCCAAAGAACAATACGTAAAGCCATGGTTTTGAAGTCAAATGGCCCAACACTCAACAACTAAACTAAAACTTAAAATAGAAACTCTCTCAAATTTCAGTTAAGAATGGCAATGGCATACATTTCGATTACGAGGAGCAGATGGCGCAGGTAATGAAAACCTTCCTCGAGCCACAATGCCATGGAACATCCAAAGAGGTAAAAATATTATCCTGTATATTAAAGCTGAAGTCAGTCATTAACAGTTACCATCAACTCAGAACCTAATATACATCACACCTTCGCATCCATCTTAAGAATCATAAAATTTCGTTATAAACAATTTTTAGACAACACCATCAACCCCACCATATCAGGACACTATCACAATTTATTCATTTATTTACTTTTTTGCTAAAGAGTTTTTCTAAAGGACTTATACCAAACTAACATCATAATTTGTTATATTCTTGATCTTCCCCTACACTTAAGGGCATTGAGAATAGTGGATCATGTAGCTTTTTAAATAATTTCAGGAATTGCACTGCAATTATTTTAATTGAATCCCACAATAAATTCCAGATACTATTGACTTTTAGAGGCAGAACATCACACAATGACATGAAGCCACTTTACAATTCACCACCTACAGAGTATCTCTAACCACTCAAATATTAACCTAAAAATGGGGCCTACTTTGATCTGTCATGTAGTCATTTAGGAAGCTTTTTAACTCGCAGACATTATTCCAATTGAAGCAAAAGTTTGCACACTCTTTGACTATCTTGGTCTAACAAGCATTATTCCACAATAATAAAGTGTACTTATTTTCACTATAGGCCATAATTTTAGTCAAAGATCATCTTCACCCCATCCTCCATTTTCCACATTCCCACATTTTGTCAGCTCAATCAAGCAGACTCTTCCTTGTATGAACATAATTTATATAGCAGAAAACATAACTCATAGCTGAATCAAATTTCACCAGCCACATAGCCTACACCAAAATATGAATGAAGAAAGGAAGCAAACTAAACAACCCCCAAGTTAAGCCTCTGAGGTGAGAATCGTATTATTTATTACCAAAACGGGTTCTGCAACGCCTTATTAATAGCATAACTGTTGTGATTGTGAACATTTTTAATACTTAAAATCCCTCACATCACAGAACTCCCGTGTGAAACAACCACCTGCATTTTCGTTTTGTACTCTGCACATGTTCCCAGAAACAAAAAAAAAAACTTTTTTCATCAATCAATTCACATTAGCATAGCACCCATATATTCTTAACCATGCCAAATTAGGGTGGATAAGAGTTATCAGAAAGAAAAACCAGAACCCAGTAATGATCATCACACTCATGCTCTTGAGTAATTTTCCCATACAACAACATAAGTAGGATTAATCATTGCATGTGGGCCCAACCCTCTTCTCTTTCTCAAGAACACACTCATTCGGGTAACTCCATCAACAACCCCTCATCCCCAAAGGAAAATAATAACAAACCCCACAACACATGAGAACAAAGAAATCCAAATTGGGTATTGAATTAAAGTAAAAAATTGGAACAAATAAAAAAAAAGGGGGTGAAGAAAAACTAACCACCAAGAACATGAGATATGATGATCGAGCTTGAGAACGAGGAAGAGAGTGAAGCATAAGAGAAAGGTGTGTGCAGCGAGAGCTTGCGCTGACTTCAACACCCTGCGCCAGCTCATCTTCCCAAAGCACTTTCCTTTATGATATTTAGAGCACACAGAAACCAAATCCTAAAACCCCAAAACAAGAAAAAGCCAAACCAAACCGAAGCAAAGCGAATTTATACACCAAAGCCACTTGCTCTGCACAACAATCCAAAAACAAAGCCCTAAGATTTTGAGGAATTTTCTGAGTCACACGATAAGGGTGGTAGCAGTGACACAGTCTAGTAGTAGTAGATTGAATTTCTACGTTGGGAGATGAAAAACCGAGGCTCCTCTTCTGTTACAGTGTGCGCCATAGGAACGAGGAAAACAAAGATTCATGTTTTGTTGAATAAGATCATAAATAACATATTTTTCTTAAATGTCTGTTTGTTTTAATTTATTTATTATTTATTTGGGTACACACTTCGGAGTTCAGTTAATCTTTTTTGGCCTTCAATATTGCTGTGAAGTCAACTAGCTACATCAATTACTTTTTTATTATAAATTTGTATAAATAATTATAGTATTTTATTTATCTTTTTTTATTGTTAAGAAGAATTTAAATATTAAATATTGTCATTATAGTTATGATTGCGATGAGGAATGAATATAAAACTAAACGCACTCACTCTCTCTCTTCACTGTTTTGAGTTGCTGGTTTTGCTTTTCCGGAAATTTTGAAGAACAAATCGCCTTTTCTTTCGTGTATTTGGTGGCTGGTAGTTTATTTAAAATTATGAAATATTTTGAAAATGTGTGTTTAAATTAATTTAAATGATGAATTTTCTGTGATGGTGAAAATGAAAAGTGATCTGAATCCGCACGCACACGCTAAGCAAAGCATATAAGCTCTGGTTTTGAATTCTCTTTATTTTTTTATTTCATGTACGAATCGTTTTATTTATTTTGATTAATAACTATAAAGTTGGCTCATGTCGTACGAGAATGCCACATCAACCGTGTAACTCTGCTTTTAAAAAAATCACATCAACGCCTCTTAAATTGTACTTTTTTAGCATTCAATTGTTTATTGGGTTTTAGAATTATGTTTAATATTACATAATAATTAGATAGCTATCAACAAATAAAAGAAAATATTTTTTAAATAATTATTGTATATATAATAAAGTTATTTAAAACATTAATTTTTGTAAAATTTTATTTCCACTTAAACTTTATAACCCACTACAAATAATATGTATCAAAATAATAAAACTTAAATAATTAGAAATATATTAGGTATTATAATTTATGTATAAATATAAATATTTAAAAATTGAAAGTTTATATGATATAATAAAAATTTATGAAAATTTTTAAAATTATATTAGATAACAAATAAATTAAATAAAAAATTTATCTTTTAAATTTAAAATAAAATAATTACAACAAGAGAGATTTGTTATTACTGAATAAATTTAATTTAAAAAGATACATGTAAACATGTAACAAGTTATAAAAAATAGTAATTTAATAAATATTTCACTTAAATTATAATATTTTTATTTATAACATAAAAAATAATTACGTTATTTAGGGTATGACATCTCAATAACTTTCATACAGTAATTTATTATGGCCAACTTAAAAAAATAATATTCCATATAAATAAATATGTATTCTTTTATGAAATAATGAAAGTAAAAAAATCGAAAAGAAGGATACAGTTTTTTTAGTATGAATAAATACGACGAAATGGTGCATAAATGATTTGCCTTTTATAATTTATAATAAAAAATATTTTTTTAAAATAAAACACGACCATGTTTGTATTCATTCCATGTTTTGTGTGAATTTTTTTGCACCATTTAACACTGCAGAATATAAGACTTGTATCCTATACGAATATAATGAGATAATAAGGATAAGTTGTTATTTTATAGAAATCCAATCAATATTTATAATGATTTCAGATGATAAAAATGAGTTAATTAAATTGATATTTCTACAGATTGATATAGCGTCATTTTATTTCAGAACATTTTTACAAGTATAAAATAATTATATATTTTTTGAATAAATTACATTATAATCTTTCAAAAAAAAAATATTTAAACTCACCCTTATAATATTTTTAAAAAAAGTGACTTCGTTAGGTAACTAGATTATATATTTAAAAAAGTTATAATAGCGTTATTTTGTAACATGATGTTTGAAGAGAATAAAAATTGGTTTTTAATACCAAACAGAGTATGCTGAAAATGATAGTTAGTACAAAACAATTAAGGGATAATTATAATTTAGAGGAATTGTAGTCAATAATTCTGAAATAAAATGATAGCATCAACGTGTGTTTGTTCACTGAGGAGACACGTGTGATATGTTTATGTGGTTAAAATAAAGACATGTATATGATTTGTCAAAGATCTTGTTGGTCCAAGTAACTTTTAGAATTTAGACCTACTAAAGCCATTTCCCAATTTTGTATGTAATCTTTAAAAGGCATAAATTTTAATGTTTTTTTTTAATTAAACCGTGATGAAATAGTTATAACGAATGAGATAATTATTATATTCAAATTTTACCATGGTTATTTATATATCAATAATAAATTTTTATTTTAAAAGTTAAATTAATCTGTGGGTCTTACCTCTGTTAAACAAGTTTTTTTCTTTAAAAGTTTGTATAAGTCACTGAATTTTCAAATTATTTTTTAATTGAGTCTTTGACCACATTTTTATTAAAATTCTGTTAAGTATAAACATAATATTGATTTCAAAATTATTTGTAAAATTACCAAATAGCATATAATTCTTAAGTTATTTAAAATTTTTAATTAAGTTGCTATATTTAATAAAATCTTAAGAAAGATATCTAAACAAAAATAATTTTAAACTTTAAAGGTCTTATTTATGAACTTTTAAAATATAATATTTTATGTAAATATCTAAATAACTAAAAAACCTACACATTAATATAACCTAATTTTAAATTATGAAGAGGCCTCACTGATGGGTGTGGGGTGTGTGTATAAAGCCTATAATAAGACAGAGACAATCAAATGAAAGTGGGGGAAGGATTAAGATATTGGGGAAAGACACGTGCCACAGCATTTGTTGGGATTCAACCCATCAACTCGTAGATATTTCACAAATTTCTTTTGAAAAATGTCTCAGAACATGGCGCGGCAATTTTTTTATTTTTAATAGTAAGATGTGTTTTATTTGGTAAAAATAAAGAATTATATAATATTATAAAATACTTATTTTATGTTTTATTTTAATAATAGTTAGGAGACAAATAAAGTATAGGATGAAAATATAAATTTTTATTATTTATTGAACTAAAAAAGCATTTACATTACTTTAACTGTGCAATATCATCGAATATATGAATCAACGATAAGGATTCTTCTATCTTAATAGGTGATCCTAAATTCGAGCTTTTATAAATATTAAATATTCAAAAAAATAAAATTTGTCACTCATAATAATGTTATTCAATTCAAATGAGATAGAGGATGTGTAAATTAAAAAAAAGAATAGTGTGATAGTTAAAATAATTATTAACGAATTAATAATTTTAATAATTAATGACAACTAAATAATCAAATTCTTTTATTATTATAATTTCTTTTAACTTTTTAAAAATATAGCACAACACAAAAAAAATATTGTTATAGAAATTGTTATTTGGGTAAAAAATTGGCCTCAACTTATTATAGGAAGTTGGATAGTGGCGGGAACCGGACATGTGTATTTTTGAAAATTACATAAAAATGCCGTTAAATATTTAACGATTGATATCTAATAAGTTATTTTATTATAAAACTATTTTTAATGAGTGGAACATTTTAAAAAAAATAGAAAGGATCCTAATCTGTATACGAGGATTTGAACCCAATTGCTAAGAGTCTATCCGTTTTATCTTTTCTTCGCTATTGTTATTAACTTATTGATTTACTTTGGTGAGAAGTGCCTAGAGAAGCCAAACTCCCTCTTTTGACTGATTTTGTCATGCAGTGGACTGAGGCTGACTGTTAAACTATTTGACAGTTCATTAGTGGCAAAGTTTGATTGGTTTAGCACCATAAACAAAGTACCCAAATGATTGTAGCGTCTGATGAAGTTATGGAGTCCGAGAATTATTGTTCTTGAAAATTAATAAGTCGCAATCTCCCATCCCTTACACAATTATATGGGGCAAGTAGCATAAGCATGACAAGGGACTAACGATTCGAGTTTGGATTTGGATAAGAAGCACTTACAAGCTAATGACCAATAAGTATTCACCACGTCCAAGCCCCGTGACAAAAAAGTAAGATATCTTAGCAAGAACAAGACAAATACGAGCTCAGAAGATGTTTCTGATTGGCCTTTACCTTACACAACACCTTATAACCTTTTTTATTATCGATCAAGTTGTGATCCTCGCACCATTCATGTTAATATCTTGTTCGGTTACTACATTTCTTTTATTGTTTTGCGTCTAAAATCAATTCAATATCTTTTGACATGAATTAGATTTTTTTTTTTGGTGGGGGGGTTAGAGAACAGATATTTTTATTTCCGGTTGGACTTGCACAAGCTGCATTCATCTTTCATCTTATTTCCAGCTGAATTGTTCCCTTATTCAATCATAAGATGACATGCTCTCTGCCTTTCTTAACCGTAAAACTAAATAGATTAATGGTAAGTTTCCGTACTTGGGGACAAATATGGAAAAATGCTTTGATAATCTTATCAATAACTGTTGTTAAATATATTATCCATAGACTCACAGGAAGCATGCCCATGTGGTCTTCAACGTTTTTTCCAAATAACAAAAAAAAGCAAGCTAGATTACAATATACATCTCATTTCTGGCAATGATGCTATGCAAGAAACTTAAATTTTCCCTACAATCTACGTAGAAGCGCAAAAAACACCGTGTCACTGTTCTGTTTACCATTGTCAGCAAGCTAATCAAAATTCACATGCTTGGGTACCGACTACCTTTTTTTTTTTTTCTTTTCAAAACTACAACAATTTTTGCAACCAGTGACAGCTTTCTGCATCCTTCTCCAAAGAATCTCTTAACTTCCTTACTTCTTGCAAAGCTTGCGTTTTATCCATGGTTTCTAGTGGCAAATCAGAAAATGCTTTAAGAAATTGGCGAGCCCTTGCAGCCCCCTGTGACATGTCAACAGGTTCAGATACTCTCTTACGTTTAGAGCCCACCTGCCAATTATAACTACAAAATTTTAATGATTCACTCCAAGGATGCAAGTTTCTTTAAAATAACGAGAATTACATTAAAATTTTATTTACTATAATTTTGCATTAGAAAAGCATAAATTTACCCAAGCCAATATTGAAGATATTATCTGACATTCTTTTTTTCAAATTCAGACAAGTCAGACAAGGGTCTCCAACATGTAAACAATATAATAATGAAACAGTTAAAGAAAATACAAGAGAAGTAGCCCAGCAAACAGAGAGGAATATGTGAGACAGTGATATCCTTTGCATCTTACAAGGGTTGAGTACGTGTGCAAGCGACAGGCTCCCTCTATGGTATATTAGCACGAAATCAGTTTTATATAGAAGTTTCTTCCTATGCTGAATAAAGTAAGAATTTAACAAAGACATTTCCAATTAGAACCAGCTACTTGAACCACCATAATTAAAGTAAAAATCAAGGTTCCCATTCCTTGTATGCCAGCAAAAAGCCCAAACAACTACTAAACTTAGAAATTTAAGAGAAATCTGCAAAACTTAGGAAGGATTGGAATCAAACCAAAATAAGCTATTGCAATTCAGGAAGCTCTTTCACGAATGTGTATAACCAATAGCTGAATAAAGATAAACAAATAGAAAGCAAAGAGACAATAATATTTTACATTACAGCTTCAAACCAGGAAAAACAATTCCAGTCCTAAAACAACAGGCTACTTACCAAGACTAAAATTTTGATTAATTTTCGCATCTGTTTATTCTGTGAAATAGTATGTAAATTTTATACCATATAATTGAGCCACAAAAAAAGGCTACAAGTTATACCTCCTTTGCGGCATCAGTTAAGGATATTGCAGGAGAAAAATCTTCCAATTCTGCTGCCTTTTCTCTGGCAAGGGCAACAACACTTTCAGGGAAGTTTGCAAACTCAGCAACATGAATACCAAAACTCTGATCACAAGCTCCAGGTTCAACCTAAAAGTAGACACATGAAAAAGAATGAGTTGATGCAAATGCATATTGTTATTTGATTACAATACTGCAGTTTCTGAAATTGTTAGTGTCATTTAACAAATTTTAAATTGCAAGAATATAACTTAATATACTAAATTATATTTAAACAAAAGACCAAGAGTAAATTTATATACTAGTTATTAAAAAATATATATTTATATATGCATATACATGTAAAAAAATTAAGGATAATTTTATTATTTTCAATGTAGTCCCTGCAGGGTAAGGAGTATGACCCATGTCCCCATCTCCAAATCTATTTCAGGAGATTTTGAGCCTCCATTTCTGTTCCCGCAAAAAAAAAAAAAAAAAAAAACAAATTTAGAACCTTAAATGAGGCATTTTGTGCATCAATCCCCAACCAACAAGGATATTTACCATTCTTATTTGTTTTTGGTTTTTTATAAAGAAAAACACTTGAAATTTAAAAAAGATGATAGTATTGTAAATAGAATTAATGCGGTAAATTTGCAGCACATTAAGACCAGCAATAATTGGTAAAATAGGTGGTCATTAAAACCAGCAAATTCTCAGCATAGGATATCTGGACATTTAAAGCCAGCAAAGCCTATCTGATTGTACAGTATGAATTTGTTATAACCGTCATTCTCTCTTATTTAGTATGCTCAACTGTAGAATAAAGGTATATATGGAATTTTAGCTACTTTTTAATGCAAAATATCGGCTTGTCATATATAGGACAGAATATTAGCTAGTACCAAACCAGTATTTATACAAGAATTCTCCAGTAGAACATACAGTTCTGCCTACACATTTCTAAACATGACAAGTATAGATAAGTTTTTCAAAAAGAAAAGAAAAAATTCCAAAGAAAAAAAAAACAGTTTTAGTTCTTTTCTAAGAAGCTAGAAAGAGCAACTTCTGTGGGGAGAAAAACTCCAAAAAAGGATACATCATAAAAGTGTTTTTTTCCTCTGAAACTTATCCAAATACATCCATAGTTCCCTGAGTAACACACTTCATAAAGCCAATAGAATAAAGGCATGGTAATATATAAAAAGAATGCTAGGACTGCATTTACCTTGTATAGCATAGTTAGCTTGCGAGTTGTTTCATCAATATGTGCACTAACATGATAGTTTGCCACACCAACAATTTCCTTTTGTGAATCATTGCTTACATTTTCAAGGGCTAACGCAGTCAGTTCATGAAAGTGGGTAGCAAACAAAGTAGGTGCTTTGATTACTTGAACAATGTGCTCACAAATGGCCCAAGCCAGACCTGCATATCACATAAAAAACTTTTATAATGCACTGAAACATTTACACTAAAGCCTTTTAATCAATGGCCTATGTTAAACCCACTGTTTCAAAACCATGGGTTCATTAGGATATGTTGACACCAATATAAAACACACCACATCACTTAATAATTTTTTGCAAAATTTAATTTTCATCAATCCAACCATTAAATTACAAGCAGCCACCAAGTTCACTTTGCATGTCAAAGTTCAGAAAAATTGTATATCAATACACTTCTATTGATATGGTTAATTTTTATTCCATATATTTTACAAGGATATATCAATGTGTAAATAGGTTTCATATCAATATGAAAGTTAAAGGATATTTTATGTGATAGGAGCTTTGAATCCAATAGTAGATTATGTGAGAAGGACATCATATAAAAAGTTATGCATGGCGATCATGACCAGATGGTCCAATTATATATAGTAACAAGTGACAACAGACAGAAAAAAGTAATAGAAATTTTATGAAATCTAAATTTTAGCATTTAGATAGAAGAAGGGGTAACAATTTTTTTTAATTTCTCTTTTCAGTTTAAAGTCAGCAACTTAAACAGTTCCCAAGACCCAATTTTAGGTAGAAGCCATTGTATTGGTCATTCAAGAAGCACAAAGTGAGAGACTTAGTGTTGTCCACAAATATATTCTGACAATTACAATTCAGATTTAAGAGATTGCAACACCAACACATTAAAGGAGGTCTTTAAGCATGAAACAAACCAAATCCATCATAAGTTGATGTCCCACGTCCCAACTCATCAATGATTATCAAGGACTTGTCAGTAGCTCCTTTTAATATTGATGCAGTTTCAAGCATTTCTTGCATAAATGTGGAAACTCCACGAAGCTGGGGAAATTGAAAAAAAAATCCTCAGAAATCCTCAAAGAAGGATATAACACTACAAGTATACCTACAGATTTAATAACCAGCATAGAAAAATAACTTGCAATTACAGTTTTCACAGAACAGCCTCAAAAGAGAATAGAATACCATTCCAGATGGGCATTATAATAAGTGATGATTTTTGGCATTTGGTAATACCATTACAATCACCTTAACAATTCTGACCACTTTCAAGAAACTACCACTCCCAGTCTCCCAGTCTCCCAATCCCATTAATGTTGTTATTTATTTTAATAAGAGAAAATTAATTAAAGTGATATAAGAAGAAGAAATCCCAATTTTATGCATTTCAAAACAGATAGCTAATCCAAACAGTCATGTACAAAAATCATTCTATAAGCCGTTTTATGTTGAGTAAAAAGTCTCAGACAGAGCTATTAACAAGGGAAAACAGTACTAATGGGCAAAGATGGCATAGGTCTATAGGACTCACTTGGCAGTCACCTGCACCAACACGGGCGAAAATACAATCACGAACAGATATGCTGGCTTTGTCACAAGGAACAAAGGAACCAATTTGAGCCATCAAAATATTCACACCCACCTACATATAGAAAAGACTTATTTGTAAACCAATCTCCAACCTCGGGTATCAAGGATGGTGGCACACAAATTGTACAAGGACTAAAAAGTCTATACAAAGAAAACTCAAGAACGCACAAAAATTTATGGTCATAGAGAAGATAAGCACCTGCCGGATGAATGTTGATTTCCCACCCATGTTAGGCCCTGTTATTATTTGAAACCAACTTTTTCCTCTAATCTGGTTTGTTATAAAAAGCATAATAAAAGTCACAATTCGTCTGAATTTAAAAGAAGCCACTTATTACTTTACAGGGATCTCATGAATACTTACAAGCTTACAATCATTTGGTATAAAATTCACCCAGTCTTGTGCCTCTACACAAGGGTGTCTGCAGCCCTCTAAAATAATATCTCCTTCATCCTATTAAAAGCCAAGATGACAATGTTCAATGCTATTCACAAAAAGAGCTCCCGAACCAAAACAGGTGGAAAACCAAAAGGGAGGAAAAAGAAAGAAGAAAATGATGCAGTTATTCTTAAAATAGAAAATAACCATTAGCAAAGTACCAATGGAGTGATGTCAGGCCTTGTGTAGGGAGTAGGACAACTAGAAGCCAAATCAGCAAAGCTAAGTAATACATCCAATTCAGAAATTAATTCAGCTAAAGATTCAAATACCTGCAGAAGGAAAATTCTAAAATTTAGAGCAGAAGAAACAACCAAAAGACATAACAATTGTATGTTTGAATTACCTTATAATTGAAAGCTTACTGAAGGAGTTTTTGAAAAAACAAAAAGAATTTTTCTGCTCACCTCAGAGAAAGTTGTTGCTGTTTGAATTACTTTACCAACTAACTGTTTTTGACAATTTTTGTACTCCTCAACAATTTGTTGATATTGGTCCCCCAATTTTTTGAGCTTTGTGTTGGTAAATTTCACTCCATCTTTACGGGTTTCCAGTACAATAAACTGGGTGTTGAGCTTCTTCCTTATTTTTGGCTCTTCCTTCTTTGTGATTCTGAAAACATGACCAAATTGTGTGCCCTTGTCTAACTTTAATGCCTTATCTATGGACAGATCAAGATCATTGGCAGTTTGTCTATGCAAGTTTTGTATTTGGCTCTCTAGTAGTTCTTGCTGCTCCTTTAGTTTAGTTAGTGTAGAGTCATAGCTTGGAGAAATCATGTATTCCCCGTTCTCTAGTTGATCAAGGTCAACAGACACTTCTACAAGCCCAGTGAATTTGTTGAGGCGATCAGCGTCAGTCCAATATTCAAGAGGTTCCAAAAACCTACTCTTCATCATTGTGGAAAACTGTCCATCATATCTTTCCAAAGCACTTTTAATGTAAGGAAGTCGAATACTTGACTGCACTCAAAAGACAGCATTTGAATTAAGAAGCTGTATCATTAGCCAAATACAGAAAGTTCAATCTAATTATCATGGTTAATGTGCATGTAATGTCTGTAATTAAAAAAATTACCAAAAAAAAGAAAAGAAAAGATAATCAAAATCCTAATGATTCTTTATCCCAATTCCCAATATACTTTTTCTAAGGCAATAAAAAAATATTTAATTACAAAATTGAAGCAGCTAAAGAAAAAGGGTAAGGAACAATTTTACAGGTTTCAGAGGTGAATCACAAAGCAGGTACAGATGCCATTGTAAGATAGCCATAGCAAAGGTAAAATTATACACCTTCTATCAAAACATAACAGTAAATGCAGATAAAACTCTACCTGATAAAGTTTAACAATATGTTGCAGACCACCTCTTCCCTTTTGAAGACTATGCATCAATCGCTCAATGTCTGATATTCTTTTTAGATGCTGCCTCAGATCTTGGCGAAGCACAGTGTCCTCTAAAAATGCTTGTACTACATCCAGCCTTGCATTAATCTCTTTTACATCTAATAATGGCTGCTTTAGCCAGTTGTGCAATAACCGTTTTCCCATTCCAGCTGTACAGGTCCTATTCATGAGACCAAACAAACTGAAATTTTTGTTTGCATCGGTTTTGCTTTCCAGGACATTAAGTGCTCTCATGGCTGCAGAATCTAACCTCATGTAGTTGTCAAGATTGTATGTACGAAGAGTATAATTTTCATAATTGCTTTCATCTGCAAGTAACTCTGCATAAGATAGTAATGCCCCCAAAGCACCAGGTGCAAATTCAAATCCAGACACTAAATCTCGAACTGGTTCAATTGAACCTTTAATAAGTCTGCCCAGATCCTGTACCAGGTCCCTGGTTTTAAATTCAGATTTCTTTCTTTCAGTTATCATCACACCACATTTAGTGAACACATCACACAACATTCTATTTTCAACAGATCTACCAGACTCCATGGGCAAAAGGCACTCTTTGCAACCAAGTGCAACCAATGCTGACTCCACATTTGTGAAGTGACTGTCATCAAGGAATTCAGCCATCCCAAGTACTCTTTTAGATATATCAACAAATCCTAACCCGACAGTGCACCTACTTTCACGGGAGTTAAGTGACAATGCAACAACAACTGGAGAATCTTGCATTTCACTGTTAGCAAACAGAACATCTTCAAAACTGCCAATATTACCAGGTGTTCCACTTTTGACCAGTCTCCAATTAGAACCACTTCCTTCATATAGCTCAAGAGTATGGTCTGTTTTCTCCAAAAGTATATCACGTGCAATTGTTTCAAACATGTTCCTACTGACACTTACACTGGAAAGAGAGTTTGATCCACCACCCAGTTGTCGCAGAGCAGTAGTAGTGCGGTAGTAAGTCTTGGCAATGAAAGTTGCATTCTCACCGTGGGCTGTATAATAATCCTGAATAATTTAAAAAGGACCACTAACCCAATTATGATTATTATATCGTATAATCCATAAAAAGGAGGAAATAAAAAGAATTTCAATCACACAATATAAAGAAAAACCAATTTAACAAAAAGCCACTCGGATAATTTATAACAAAGGTTGTAGAAACTCTTCAAAAGAGGAAAAGAAGTACAGCAAAACTGATTTGTAGACCAGAAAAATTTGACAATAGCTTTTCTAGAAGTAGTACTTTCAAGGTTAAAAAAAGATTTAACCATTGTATTAAAACAACTTAAAACAATATCTAAAACAAGCTATCTTTTAATTGTGGGAAGTCTTATACAGTAATTAACAATATTACACAAACCTTAAAAAATCTAGGACCTCATCCTATCCAAATTATCTCAAAAAAATACAAATTTAAGATCTCTTCTCATAAATACTACTGAGGTCAAAGAAGTCTCTTTATATACATTTATTATTCTTCTGGAAATCCATTAAAGAAAAATAACTGAAGACAGAAAGGATTAAGACATTTCAGAGGTTAAAAGTGCCTCAAACACAAAAAGGGCCCACCTGTGTAGAAATTGTACTATTTGGCATCTATTGAACAAAGTAATTAAAAACATAATAAAGAAAAAAGGGAATATCAGCCATAAACTTACTCGACGATCAAATAATCGAATGGCCCTTGGGTCCTGTAACACAAACATGCAAATAAACAGAATGAATGGGAAAGGAATAATACCAATTTGCAACTGGTGTCAAGACCATTAAACCAGTGCAAGTAAAGGGATAAAAAATGGATTGTTTACATTCACAGAAGTATGTCATTTCGTTATTGCATTGGTTTTAAGTAACAAAAATAGTTAAACAAGTCCATTACACATAAAATAAGGGTTGAAAACTAGTAATAACAAGTCTTCACTACTACATATATAAGTTGGGGAAGGATTGACGCAGTTTAAATTTTCATACACTTGCTTAATAACTTCATCTAGAAACATATTTTGATGGATCTAAACAAATTACAACTAAATATCATGCCGCTGCTTCAGGACTAAATTTAGAAAATTTAAGCAGCAATAAGTATACAATGAAGTGGTTGATATAATTAAGCTCCTTTGAGAAGTATAATATAAATTTAATTTGTACACACCTTAATAGAGTAAGAAAGACTAGATCAGGCTAAAGTGGAATTTTATGAACATATTGGAGGAAAGATTCACACTTTAGCTGTAAAAAAATGGAGTATTCATATAATGCTAAGAACATCATCCCAACAAAGCCAAGCACAATGCCGAGAGACACGATGGAACAATACGAGAAAGGAAAAATACTTACATCGGATAGGGTTTTGAAAAATGATAGAAACCCTTGCGCTTGCTTAGCATCTAGCAACAGTTATAAAGGAAAACAACGAAAACCGTTAGCAAACTTGAACCAATCGCCAAGAATAGAAAATGATTATAAAAAAAAAAAAATAGTAATCAATTTTTTTTAGAGGGGAAAAAATAAAATCGTGAATGATAGGGTACCTAATTTGAGCTCAGGGAGTTTAGAAGTGAGGTCGTCCAAATTTTCACCCATTGCTGCAAATAGGGTTCTACAGCAAAACTGAGTCTGTGAAGTGCGTATGAACTGTGAGAACGTGTGTGTGTGTGTGTGTGTGTGTATAAGAAGTGAGAACGGTGAAATGAAAGCGTTTCTGTGGTGTTGGTGGCGGGAAATACTGGCGGGCTTTTCTGAGGCCTTTTGCTGAAGCTGAAGCCCGTTGGTTTTCTTCTGGGTAACTGCTATTTGAACCAGGCCCGATCCAGAGACAGAGCAGAACAAAAGGCAAAGATAGTTATGTTTCTAACCCCAAATTTTTAAAGATTTTTTTCATTAATAAATTATAATCTAATTCTAAGAAAATATAAGATGTCAATTGATGTAAAATTTATACATTTGTAGACCTGTATAAAACTTATTAGCTATATTATACAATTAAGTTCTTAATTAAAAAATTAGATAATTTTTATATATACTCACTCTCTTTTTTATGTTATTATTTATCTTATTTTATTGCACCTATCTTTCAAACTTTCTTATCAAAACCACGTATTATTTCCTTTATCAATTTTTTTTTAATCTAACTTGTTTAATCGTGTTATAATTTGTATAAATATCAAGCCTAATAAGATTTTTTAATCGCAGTTAAAAGAAATTTATAATAATTACATTCAAATTTTCAATTTAAAAAATAGAAGTTTAAAACACGTGTTTTAAATTTTTAATTTTTAAAATAACATTTGATCAATTAAGTCAGTATTTCTGTTCGATATTTTTTAATTTGTATCTTTGACATTTTACTTTTCCTTAAGCGTATTAATATAATGTACGAAATATTTATTAGTGTATTTTCATTATGTGGTGAATTAAATTAATTATACTGATTAAAAAAATTGTATGTCTAAAAACGCGTACTTAAATTTAATTAGCTCTAGTAACTTCAAAACCACAATTTATTTTTGTTAATTTCAATAAAACACCTATACTTCCAATAAATTATTATTTTTTATTTGATACAGATTTGTTATTATCATTCTAAATAATTGATGTAAAGATAAATACATATTAAAAGTATTTACATATCAAAATATTTTAAAAAAAACTTTTGTTATTTTCTTAGGAACATAAATTTTGGCACCCCGTTTTAAAGTGTTAAATAGATATAAAATGATGTGATAGAAAAATGAATATAAAATGTAAAATATGTTTTTTATACATCTTTTTATCTACTCGAACTATATATGTTAAAACTATTTCAAAATAAATAAGAGTAAAAAAGTATATCATTATCGAAACTTCAAAGGTACACAGTATGATATTAAAAATCTATACTTAATATTGAACTGTCTGGAATAGGGTTTAATTTTAACAAAAGAAAAAAAAACAATGTATATGCGTGTAATTGATTTCATGTTAATTGTTTTCTTTATTAACATATTTAAAGGGTCTTTTAGGGCAAGTTCTGTAATTATTTTAGAATCATTTTTAAATATACTTAGTTAGTTAATATAAATATAGTATTTATATATATTTTTTTAATTTATCCTTAAATAAGTTATAATCTAGTTGTTACAAGAGGAAACACTTTTTTTGCTAACAACATTAAATGAACTAAAATGTAAATTTAATTATATGGACAAAATTGTAAGTAATTATTGATGATAGGGACTAAGAGTTTTTAGAGTGAGCTAGTAGATAAGTCTTTATAAAAAAATATATAAAAGTAAATAAAATTTTCTTCATAAGTTAAAATTAATTCACATTTTATTATTTTTTAGAAATTATTATGATTACTTTTTAAAAACTGAAAGAAATAAATTATTTTTAATTTATAAAAATATAACAAAAAGTTTATTTAAAAATATTTTTATATGTAAATACCTCTAATATGTATTTATTTTTACATCATTTATTTAGAATGATAATAACAATTATTTTGTATATTATTTTTCCTTTTTTATAAAAGTTTATTTATAAGTTCACTAAAATAGAGTCTAAATATATATTTTAACTAAAAATATATATAAAAAAAAACAATCACGAGGTATTAAATGAAAATATAAACAAAAATTGAAAAATTTTATTTTTAATATATAGAAGTATAAAATAAAAATTCATAGTGCTAGGTTTAAACCACCAAATATAATAAAAAAAATTTGAAAGAAAAAAACATTTATTACACATTTATAATTACTAAATACATATATTTTAACTAAAAATTTGAAAGAAAATAAAGAATTTTTTTTTTTGAGAAACAAAATGGTGAGTAAAAAAATTACAAAGTTTTAAAAGAATTAAAACTTATATATTTAAATAAGATTATTCACTAATTTGAAAATACGATAAAAAACATAAAATTAAAAAATTAACTCCAACTCTTATGACTCAATTTTAACAACTAATTGTAATAAAATATTATTAAAACAATAAATTTTTATTACACTTCTATAATTTTAATACAATGAATAAAATATTTTTATACATTTAAATGATTAAATTTAATTTTAAGGTTGAGATTAACAAAATTTTATATAAAAAGTTGATGGTAAAAAAATAAGAGTACTCTAAAAAAATTAAATTATAATACAAGTTAGTCCTCATTTATAAATTAATTTTTATAGTTAAATTTTATATTTTAATCATTATATAAGTTTTTTAATATTTGGTCCCTCGTGGAAAAAATAAAATTGAAAGCATTTATTTGAGTTGAAACTAAAATATAACTTTTTAAGTAAAGATTATATTTTAAAAATATGTGAAATATATAAACTAAATTTATAATTTAACCGGTATATTTTAATTGAGTTTTGTCTGTTTTGTAGTTGGTGGCCGTTCCGTGATTTTTAACGTAAGTAAAGCCAAAACCAAAATAAAAAATAAAAAAATCTCACTCTGAACAAAATGAAGTTACAGTGGTGTTGCATTAGGTTCAAAACTAAAGTGAAGTATTGTGGGGAACTAAGAGAAAATGGCAAAAGAGAAGCAAAACGTTGAGGAGATCTTGTAATTAAGGAAAACTAATTTTACATTAAAAATTGTGGTATTTTTCATTTTATTAGTTTAGTTTTGAAAAGGTAGCTTCACATATAATACAAATTTTCATAATTTTAAATTATTTTTATAACTTAAAAAAACAATAAAATAGCTTTTTCCAGTAATACTCTATGTTGAACTTTGTTTAATTATTTGAATAGCATATCCAAATGTTGTAACTAAATCATCTATCTTTGTCGCCCCCACCCTATGTTGTCTTTGTCCATGCACCCACACACCATCATAAATGAACCTCGCATTTCTGTGTATAACCTTTACAATTGCTCACTATATTTATGGTATATATAGATATAACCACAAGTGAATATTTCACCAATAACTATATATAGGACCCTGCACCTGAACCACTTTAATTTATCTTATTATGCATTTAGATGGTTTCTGTTTTGTGACTCGCGCTGACACAATAACTAAACACTTCTAGTTGTGATATGTGCTTCTGGCCCCCCTCCTTTATAGTCTTTCTTTTTTTTGTTCCTTCTTCTGTTCATAAAGAAACCCATTTCTTTGCTTGATAATTTCTACTGAATGGCAGACATCGACCCTTCACAAGCAAAATTCCTCTAACAGTCGTGTAAAAATTAATGCACTGTATCATCATCTTTATCATGATATCATACGCAATATGTATGGTAGCCTATTATTGTGTGACCTTTTAGTTCTAAATAAATAGTGTGTTAGTTTTTGTCCTATATCATTTATTGCTTTGAATAGCTGCATTAACCCAACACAAAGTTGAACATCATAGCTCAAATTTTAGTACTTGGATAAGAATAATGAGAAAAACTGCTCTAGAAGATCGTTGACCTTAATAGAATATTATTTTGGATTTTTTTTTTGTTATCCCGGTCCTTTTATATTTTAAATAAACATATGATTAGAATTAAACAGTTATTAAAATTACAAATATAATTATGCATTAATCCTTGAATACATACCCATCTGGGGAGTTTTGAAGAAATGCCACTGTTCCAGGTTGACAATAATTAAGCAACTCATTTTATCAATCTAGGAAAAATGTTCTAAGTTGGATTATGATTAACAATCAACTACTGATCAATTACTTGCTGACAATGAAAGGCTACAGAAGAATCGCTGCTATGCCTAGTAAAATCTATGAATTATAGTGGTGAAGTGGGTCGAATCATGAAATTGATGAAGGTGATTATTTCATATTCTATGTATCTGAAATCAAATTTAACTTGTGCTGTAATTTGTCTGCGCATCAGACCAAGCAATAAAGAACAAAGGTAAGACAATACCCTTAACTTCGTATAAGACATGAAAAGACAGATCTCTTTTAAAAGCACCTCTGATTGTAATCTAACGTTTTCTTTTAGCATATTTTCAGAAAGAATTAATTTAGCGTGCAGTACGGTTCTTAACAGTAAACACATTAAGAAAAATCATCTAATTTAGTACATATTATAAGTCACTCTCTAGTGTCCAAATTAACTTAATTACTCTTTAAGCATGATTCATCCCAGACTTACTGGGTTTATATATACGTATCAGTAGATATCACATTTTAAAATGCCAAATTATCTATCAAAGAATATTTTGTTAAAGCAATAATGAGAATAATAAATATAAATTATTGAATTTTATTTTAATGATTATATTAAAAGAATAACAAACATAACTTTAAGATATTATATCATTAACAGATATTTTTTTTATTAAATATTAATATTTTATTAAGAATAAATTTAAACTATAAAAAATAGTCTAACATGTTATAACTTTAAAATAATTAATTTTATTTATTTATAAGTAATTATTTAATTAAAATTTAAACTTATAATTTTAATATTGAAACTATTTTTATTAAATACATTTTTCACGCACATGCACTTTCCTCCCCTTCTCCTGCACATATATCATATAATTTTATAATTATAAGATAATCCATATTTCTTAAAATGGAATCTTATTCAGGCCTTTTTCTGAGAATTTTAATTATTATTCATCATTTTATATATTGGTCCCTTCATCTAAACCCAATATATCTTTGTCTAGTTTTCCTTTTTAATATGTTTTTGCTTTATTATAATTTACACTTCTTTCGAACAATTTGCTACTTTTATTTAGAAAAATATTTTACAAATACAATTTTGGAATAACAAAAAGTTGTTCTTTTAATTTCAAAATATATAATTTTAGATATGTGTATATAAAAATAAATAAATAATAAAAATTATATATCATATCATAT